GAAGGAAAAAATCCAGGGATTTCAACCCCTTCCCGCATACCGATCCTAAAGACTCGTGTAGCTTTAGTCTGCCCTGATACAACGCCTGCATTGCCACAGTCTAGTACTGAAACGGCACAGGCAATACCAGAAGGACAGAATTCTACACCTGCATCAACTGTAGGCCAGTGTGTGAAACACATCAAGCCTAAAAGGAAACGTTCAAGACGTCATAAGACCTCGAAGGCGTCATCAAGGAAAGGGGATGAATGCCAGGCGTGCAACATCACAGTTTCTAAAACTGATTCAGCGTTTGAATGTAATTTTTGCAAACGATGGGTGCACTGCCGTTGTGACAAAGAAGTACCGAAAGCATACTATGAGTTTATGAGAAATAACCCATGCCCATGGTTTTGGTACGTGTGTCCACTTTGTCGCCCTGGCATAGTCCCACAAAGCGTGTCTGCGGATAGCAGAAATAACATGCTCTTGTGCCCCAACACAGTATCATGCAGCTCCCCCCTGCTAAACTCGCACTGCCGAAACTGGTCAAAGACTTAAAGAAGGACACACCAGCCCTACTGACTGGAAATGCCAATTCTCACAAGGTGAAGATTAGCAAGGTTCCATCCACATCAGGGGAGGGCAAAATTACAAAGGCACCACTTGCATCCACTAGCAAGCCTGGCAACACAAAAAAGGCTGTCCAGGTACCGACGAAGCCTAATGTTGCTAATGATGCAAAGGACTGCAAGAAGCCGAAGGCAAAACCTAAGTCTGAGGGTAGTCGGTCTAACTCTCTCATCCTCTTTAACGTACCTGTGAGCACGGATAGCTTGCTCGAACAACGGGCCCTGTTTGATCAGGAACAGTGGTCCAACCTGTGTGGCAAACTAGGTCTGAACATTAGTTCAGCAAAACTGTGCAGACTGTACAGGGGTGTCCACACGCCTCAGGGTAAGCCACCCCCATTACGGGTTACACTGGACTCTGCCGAAGAGGCCGAAAAAGTACTGTTAATGGCTCAGGTACTAGCCCTGGACAGAAGTTCTAACATAAGAGCGCGGCAAGATAGACCATGGGCCGTCAGAAATATGGCGAGGGAGTCACCGGAACTGATGCCTTCCACCTCTATGGTGGTACACGGTGTTCCGGAGCTGGAAACCGGCACTGCTTGTGAAAAACACATGCACGACGTACAACAATGGAGATGGCTGTCATCTCAGATGGCCCCTGGCGCTTCTGGAGCCATCTCCATTTTCCGACTACCTCGTCCCGCTCATCTAACATTGATTAACTCTCCAAAGCTGCTGTGTGTCACATTCAACTCCCCGGAGCAGTTGTCCATATCACTTCAACGGTGGTATGAGACCAAGGGAAAAATTGGAGGACACATCCGATGCTGTGAAAGCAGACCCAGAAATATAAGGAGGCAGCAAACTGAGGCTTTAATACGACCCCAAGCTTCGGTGACACTAGAGCGATGCAGCTCTGAGAATAATAGTCTGTGTCTCCCAAGTGTCCTGCCTAAATCCATTGAAAAAAACTACAACGGGCCGGTTCTATCGGAATCGGCCAACTAGTTCCAACATCAAGTCCCCCACCAGCAGACGGTTTCACGTCAACTACCCCACAACACTCTGAGGTTGTTAGACTCACTGTCAGTTGCCTATATAGCAATGTGAGGGGGCTGAGAGGGAAAGTAGGTGAACTTCGAAATCTCCAAGCACACCTTCAACTGAAAATAATCATTCTTACTGAAACGTGGCTAAACCCCACTATCGCCGACAATGAAATCAGTATAGGTGATATGGTACTGGTCAGGAGAGACAGGGATAATAAGGAAGGAGGGGGAGTTGCTATATACTTTGATAGGCAACTTAAATGTGTGCGCGCAACGGACCCACCACTTATCGAACTCCCAGACTCCATATGGTGTCATTTCACCGTAGGCCACACCAAGCACTTACTGGGTGGCATCTACCGATCTCCCACCTGTGGGGCAGAGCACAATCAGCTACTGCTCAGCACTATCACAGGAATACGAGATTTGGGCTACGACCAAATCACCATAGCTGGAGATTTCAATGCTCCATCACTGAACCTTGGCTCCGGGTGTGCTAAGGGAAAATTTGGCCGAAACCTACTGCAAACTATTCGAAACACGGGACTGACTGAGAATGTTGGAGACGACACTAGGTGGGGCCCTAGTGGAAAGTCATCAAAACTAGATTATATTCTAACTAGTGACCAGCTACTCGTCGAAAAGGTCCAGATCATGACTCCTCTGGGAAGCAGTGACCATGCAGTCATAGGTTTCGATCTTGTCCTCCGTGAGCGTTTGCAATGGGATGTTACGCGACCATGTCTGTGCTACAGCAAGGCTGACTATGCTGAAATGCGGAGGCTCTTGTCCGACGCAGACTGGCCCTTAGCATGGGACGACCTATCTGTGGATGAACACTGGGAAGTGGTAAAAAAGATTATCCATGCAGCAATCTCGGATACCGTCCCTTTAGTCACAACACAGCCTAAGAGAAAGACGTCATGGTTGAAGAGAGGCACGCAACGTATTCTGCAAGCAAAGCGGAGGGCTTGGTTTACGTGGCGTGTATCTAAGAGTCAGACCGACCATGATGCATACCTCGAACTCAGGAACCGGTGTAATGCAAGAGTTAGGAGGGACAGAAGGTCATTCCAGGCTAACCTTGCTAAAAAACTCCTATCAAACCCTAAAAACTTGTACCGATTCATGTCGGAAAGAAAACCGACAAACCAAGGGGCATGCGCCTTAGTAGGCCCAAACGGTCAATATCTCACTAGTCTGGAGATGGCTGAAACATTCAGTTCAGCCTTCGCTAAACAGCTAAACAGCAATGTGGATATTACAGTTACGGACCAAAATGGTGGCACCACTATTTCAGAGGAGGAAGACCTAGCGACTACTCCCCAAATAAACCCCGCAATAGTACTAAGGAAGCTACAGCGACTCATACCTGGGAAGTCCCCAGGTTGTGATGACATCAGGCCATCTGTTCTGAAACAGTGCGCCGAGGCTCTCTGTAGACCCCTGTGCGACTTGTTCCAACACTCAATGGATTCGGGGACCCTGCCAAGGGAGTGGAAAAGAGCCATCCTTTCTCCAATCTTCAAGGGTGGGGACAGGCAAAACGCTGCTAGCTATAGACCAGTAGCTCTACTCCCAGTGGTATCAAAAGTACTGGAAAGTATTATTGACGACCACATCAGGGAATATTTCGATAGGACTAATATACTGCATGAAGCCCAACATGGTTTCAGAAAAGGCAGATCCTGCGTCACTAACCTACTGTCAGCTTGGGACGACTGGACATCATGCTGGGACTTGAACGTACCAGTCCATGTGGTCTTCCTAGACTTTGAGAAGGCATTTGACACTGTTCACCATGACCTTCTCCTACATAAAATAAGACAGGCAGGCATAGGTGAGCCACTTCTGTCATGGTTGAAGGACTACCTAGCCGACAGGCAATTTTGCACTAAGGTTAACCGAGTCCGATCATCTTGGCACAGATCGTCATCAGGAGTGTCGCAGGGTTCTATCCTAGGACCACTGATGTTTTTGATTTTCATCAATGATCTACCACGCCGTCTGAGCTGCCCGACTCTCCTGTACGCTGACGACGTAAAAATATGGAGGGCGATAAAGTGTCCGGAGGACTCAGATAGGCTACAGGAAGACCTAAACCTTCTGGAAGACTGGGCGGTGGCCAGTGGCATGACTTTCAACTTGAAAAAGTGCAAAGTAGTGAAGTTGCGCACCTGTAGACTGCAGAATGCAAGTTACACCCTGTGCAATGAAAGCTTGTCCTGCACAACGTCGGAACGCGACTTAGGTCTAGTTCTAACGGAAAAAATGGACACAAGCGTAAATTACACAGGGGATGTAGCGAGGGCATATGCGGTCATACACTTTACGCATAGACAGTTAGGTGCACTCACTCCTGAGCTCTTTCTAATGTTGTACAAAACATACGTCAGGCCACACCTTGAGGTGCATAATATTATTGCACCCCCAATGCTGAGAAGAGATGCCAACCTCTTGGAAAGAGTCCAACGACGGGCAACAAAAGGAGTGGTTGGTCTCCGAAACAAACCATATGATGAAAGGCTGAAGAAATTAGGCCTGTTCACACTTAGTTACCGTCGGCTTAGGGGGGATTTGATTACTGCCTACAAAATAACAAATGACCAGAATCACCCAAACAAAGGTGTTCTGCCATTGAGTAGGTATAGGCTTCCACGTGGAAATCCCAGAAGGATAGCTCACCAGAGGGCAAGGACCCGGGTGCGCTCCCACTTCTTTTCACTGCGGGTTTGTCGTCCCTGGAATTCCTTACCGGCAGATGTAGCTATGGCACCGTCTTTGGACGCCTTTAAGCGAAGGCTGGACAACCATGCAGCGATACAAGGACTGCATCCAAATGGCCTATCTCCTTAAAATCGCATTTACCAATCAGGGTAGATAATTAAACTCGTCATTTTACTTCTTTACATTCTCTCCCGTCTTACTCTCCTGACAACTTATTAATATTATAATTACTATTATTATTATTACTATTACCGATATATATATTATTCTTCAAACTTCATGAGCTGACTGTTGTTACGTTTCCTATTTTCGTTTCTGTCTCTTAGTCTGAATAGCTTCACTAATTATATCTATTATTATTATTATTACTATTATTATTATTATTACTATCTCTTTTCTCTTGTCGACAATACCGAAGGACTAACTGGCGAAAGGATCAACTCCAATCACAGTAGTAACAGTCTTAACATACCTCATACTACAAACCACATATAATTAATCCCAGCACTACTCCCTTTGGAGTCAACCAAAGCTACGACAGTCGAGTGGCGGGACAAGCTACGCAGAAGTTTACCGAAGATCAAGAACCTATACCTCACAATCAAGAGGCGAGCACAAAGAAATCAAATTGGTTTATACTAGCTCGTAAAAACGATATTGGATATTGGAAGGACCGCGTATTATCTCTTATGCGTTACATATATTTGGCAAGGTCAGTGGCGGAAGTTTGGGTCGTCTTGTCATTTTTTGAGTTTTTAAAACAAATTTTCAATAAAGTTATAGTTTTTCGTGTGAAATATCGATACTCAATTTAATTAAGACCCTTAAAAACGTTCGAGGTCATTTGTGAGAATCTCAAGAGCGCATTAGCGTCAACGTCTACTGAGTAGTGTGTTCTAGGTGATCTTACAGTAATAGATAAAGGATGAAAATAATACTGGATGGTGATATTCCTAATCAAATATAATGCAGTGATTTGACATGAGATGTTTAAAACTCCATATTGTATCAAACATACTGTTGGGAATAATGTTATGATTATTTATAAAAAGGCTTTCGGAGTTACTTGTTTTTATGTGATGAGTTATCTATATTTGGAATTTCAGAATGGGTAGTAAATTAGGGACATCAGCCGTATTGCAATACGGCAACACTGGAGTTTTTGTGTGATTCTAAAAATGTATAGGGAATCTGAAACTGTAATAGAATATATATGGCTACTGTGAATTTATAAAAACCTGAAACTGTAACTGACTTGTCTTCGCCAAAAGTTTTGGAAGGTATAACTTTTTAAAATTAAATGACGCCAACAGCATTTCTAAGTGGTAACACGAATGATGTTTATTTACTAATTGAAGAGATGATATTACTTTCCAGGCGTTCTTCTGCACGAAGTGTGGCTGCGCTCCAGTGTTAATGTTTGACACCACTAAGTTGTAAGCCAGTGCTTCGTTTTCATCCTGAGGAAACAAAAATAAGGCTCGAGCAGTATGCGTCACCTGATAGAGTTATTGAAGATTAAAATAGTAATAATTATTATTTTTACTTTATTCCAAAAACAGTACTAATGATACACCAAGGAATTTTCAGCATTCAGTAAATATTGCATCTAATTTACTCAACAACGACAAAAAACAATAAACATTACATAAGAATAATAACAAAACGTTATTATAGCAGCTATGTAGGAAATTACAGTATGCGATACGGAGAAGAATTTGCGTAAAGTATAAAATTACAGCAATAATAGTAATAACAACTAAAATGAAATAGCTTAGTTATAATTAAACGATAGAAAGGGTGACACCATAAAATTACAGAAAGATGAACAATGAAAGGGTCGATTCACTTTGCTAATTACATAGTAACATGTTTCAGGTCTAACAGTGTCTTCATCACATAAAATACGGGCTAAATACGGTATTGTAGAATTTTCGTACTTAGCGGTTCGAGCATATAACTTCTTATATTGACTTCTCGTCCTACCTGATGAGATGCAAGGGGATATTTGTGGATAAAGGGGTGGTGCAGGTGGCCTGACAGTACGGCCTTTGCCCATTTTGTACAGGAATTTGTGTCTCTCGACTATAGTATTGGCGAGCTCACGCAGTGGCATACCACAAGCCCTACTCACAGCATTTAATACCCTTCGTAATATGATATAGTCTTTTTTGAGAAGCCCAGGAAATATTAATGGAGAGCAATAGAGTACAATAGGTAAAATACAGGAGTTTACGAACTGCAGAAGTGAAGGTTGGTTGATACCTGATTGTCTTAACTTTTTAATGTAGAAGGTAAGACGAAACATTTTCTTATAGATAGATAAGATGTGGCATGACCATGAAAGGTCAGAGTAAAGAACTGATCCAAGTTATTCAATGTTTGACGTGGTTTCAATTTGAGTGCCATCTATGCTACAGGCATCATGGGAACTAACTAGTTCATGTTTGTCACGTCAATGCTTGAAAATAAAGTTAACTGCCTGACATTTGGAAGGATTTTACATAAGACCATTTGACTTAGGGCACTTACTAATGTCCAACAGAACGCTATTAAGTTTGGAGCAGCCAGACTCGGAAATGATAGGCAGTGATACAGTCAGATCATCTGCATATTTGACAAAGTTAGTTTCGTTTGAATGAGGTAGGTCATGTAGGAAGAAAGAAAAAAGAAAAGGAGAGAGGACAGCACCTTGTGGAACACCGGCTTCTGTAAGCGAGACAGAAGATTTGCCATTTTATACAGTATACTGCATTCTATCAGAAAAATAAAAATGCAACCAACTCTTTGCCAAGGATCCTCTTTGCGTCAACGAAAGCTTATTTAATAAAAGGCCCCTAGGCACTCCGTGGATCGAAAGGTACTATGGCAATGTCTGACTGTGAAGGGAGTGCCAAGAAAATACATTGCATTAGTCAAGGCACTCTATTCAAACTCACGTAATCGTGTAAGGGCTTATGGGGAATTGTCATCTGAATTGATAACAACCAGTGGTGTCCGACAAGGATGTCCACTTTCCCCATTTCTGTTTAACTTCATCATAGATATGCTGATGGAAGTATCCTTAACTGAACGTAATGACTTAGGAATCGACTCGTTACCAGGGAATAGTCTTATGGACTTAGAATATGCAGATTGGCGATGAAATCTCAGCACGGATCCGAAAAGCTCGAGCTGCTTTCGCTGACTTACACCATCTCTGGCGTAGGCGTGACATCCGGTTATCAACCAAGGGACGTGTGTACTGCTCATCAGTTCGCTCCGTCCTTCTCTATGGCTCCGAAACATGGCCAATACGCGTTGAAGACATGAAAAGGTTGACTGCTTTCGATCATAGATGTCTGCGATCTCTGTCTCACGTTAGGTGGTTTAATAAGGTAAGTAATGTTGACGTTAGGCGTAGAGTGTTGGGCAAACAGGGAAAATCAATCGACGAGGCTATAAAGTTACATAGACTAAGATGGCTAGGTCACGTGCTGCGCATGCCTAACCACCGCCTCCCCCGACGGGCATTGCTAGCTGATATAGGTGCAGGTTGGAAAAGAGCCAGTGGTGGCCAAACAAAAACATGGCCTCATCAATCCATGAAATCCTTGACAGTTAAACTGAGTCAGGTAGGGAGATGCAGACTCCCGGGTTGGGGCCCTCGGGACTATAGGAATCAATGGCTGGAGACAATAGGTGACATGGCTCAAAATCGTTGTCAATGGCGCAGATGTATTCAGTCTCTGTAATCTTTCATATTCCTTTCTACCATTACCCATTCTGTTTCACTCTTATACTTGTCAGACTGTATTGATTCTCTTCACTCATCTTCTTGTCTACCTCTGTGTGCTATTTGGAAGGTGGCAACTCGAACTGCTGCACTTCGGTGACAAGTTCTATGTTGAATCCAGACAGACAGAGTCAAAAGCAGATGTGTAGTCTAGGAAAGCACCACGAACATATTTGGCACCTTTGTCTAAACCAGAAACAACATTATGACATAAGACTACCGCAGCATCCGAGGTACTTCTACCATGTTTACATGCAAAATTGTTTAGGATCATTAAAAGGTTTCAATGAAGGTTCAAGATGAAGTAGAAGTAATTTTTCCATCAATTTTAAAGAAAGGAGAAGTAATTGCAATTGGCCTAAATTTAATATCAGTACCAGAAGATGGTTTTGGCATGAGGATAATTTTAATGTTTTTCCATGCAAAAGTCAAAAAGTTACAGGAAAAGGAAGCATTAAAATGTTAGTAAGAGGGTAACACAAAATATCAGCACAGTTCCCGAGGACAATTGCAGGTACACCATCAGGACCAAGGCTTTGGGAAAGCTTAAGAGACCGGAGACATTTAAGCACATCAAGGGTGTTAAAACCACTAGAATTATTATCTGTATGATTTGTAGCATTAGGAGGGATATCGACAGAAGAGCGTATGAAAGACTTATTAAGAGTATCAACATTAAGAGATCGGAGAGAAGTGGTGGACTGGATTATGCGTCAGACAGTGGGAAACGAGAAGACAGGAATACCCTGGACCGACGTGAAGAACCTAGAAGACCTGGATTTCGCGGATGATTTATGTTTGATGTCACACACAATCGAAGACTTACAAGCGGAAACCGACAAACTGGTCGAAGAAGCAGGTAGTGAAGACCGGACTCCAGGTAAACATAGACAAGACGGGGGTTATGAAAATAACCAACCAACAACAGCAACAACATCCAACGTCAATCACCATCAACGGGAGGGATTGGAAAGAGGTTACTTCATTCACTCACTTATCTAGGGAGCATTGTCTCAACTACAGGCAGTTGGAACGGATGAGGATGTCAAATCGAGAATCGGGAAGGCGAGAAACACATTCATCAACCTGAAATCAATCTGGAAATCTTCGTCACTCAGCATCACCAACGAAATTCGGATTTTCAATACAAACGTAAAGTCAGTTCTTCTATACGGATCAAAATCTTGGCGGGCGGGTCACAAAGAATATTTCCAAAAGGCTGCAGACTTTTATTAACAACTGTCTTCGCTCAATACTGAAGATCAGATGGCCGGAAAGAATCACCAACAAGGAATTATGGGAACAAACAAAGCAAGAACCAATTGCCCAACAAATATGCGGGAGAAAGAGGAGATGGATCGGACACTCTCTGAGGAGACCGTTGGGTGACATCGCGCGTCAAGCCCTCAAGTGGAACCCGAAAGGGAAGCGGCGTGTGGGACGTCCAAGGGTGACATGGAGGAGATCGTGTAAAGAGGAGTTGAAACAGTATGGAATAACATGGATGCAGGCGAAAAGTACAGCAGAGGACAGAAGAAAATGGAGACGTGCAGTTGAAGCCCTATGTTCCACTAGGAACCCAAGGGATCGATAATAATAATAATAAGAGAAGTACATCGCTTACCGCTAGTAATTTCTTTGAAAAGTTTCCACAAACGAGAAGAGGTTTTACATAACATATCTCAAGAAATCTGCAAGTGACTGAGCCGGTCTGATTTCCATCTCTAGAATATCCTACGCCTAAGTGGTAGAGCATAAAGAATGTTCAGCACACAACTTTTTGTTGCTTACTGCTCATGTAAATATTAAACCCTGGCGGCTGTAGTGTCAGGAAAATCTTTAACCTCACTTGTGGTACTCAAATTGGTACTCATTGCAATAGTCTACTTGAGAAGTTCAGGTAAAGCAGGAAGGACGATAAAATATATGAGGAAATTGTAGGAGCAGCTGTTGAGTTGCTTTAAATAGGTCTAATAGTGTTACATAATCATTCAGACAAGAAGCCTCTTCAGAAATAAGATGAAAACTCCATTCTGACAAGTTACTTATTTCGAATATAAAAACATCTTATTTCCCATCTGATTTTAGTCGACTGATAACACTAATATTATTATTTCTGAATGTGCTTTATCTGGTATTGATTTCATTCAAATGTTTAATCAGTTCCACTCATGTATATAAATGAAGCAAAAAGCTGTGTGAGTGACTGGATATGATTATGGGCAATTTGTGCTCGAAACGTCATCAGTAAATATTACTGCATAGCACTATGTGATTTATCAAAATAAAATCTTAAACACCACAGTGCCCAAGTTTTATACTTACGCCAATTAAAGATAGTTACTATCAAACTCATCTTAGACGAAGGCTTACTTGTAGATTGATACTGCTGTCTTGTTGCCTTTTCTCAGCTTAATTGGAGCTTAACTCTCCTACTCATGGAATTACTACTAATTTGAAATGACATGCCCTCCAGCAGTATTTTTTTGTGAGATCGCATCACTTAGTTTGGATATTCTTTAGCCGTCTCTCTTTCTCGTATGTTTATGGTGCTCTCATGTTATTTTGTGTGGTGTATATTTTGACTTGAGTAGTATGCGTAGACTTGGCTGGAATAATGATACTGATACTTTCTAAGCGATTACAGTTTGTGAAGCCTGTGTTTTAGGTTGGCAGTATTAGTGATAGCGAGAACTGACTACTTTCAAAGAGTAATCTATGCAAAAAATTTAAGCTGGTTATTATTCATCCAACTGATAGTGATTTGTCGAAATGAGCACTTACTGTCATTTTCGCTACCTTTTTCAAACACTGAATAAGTTCATACAATCTCTTTGTTTACCAGTGATATACTCATGTGATTAGATATGCACAAACTATACTTTCCCCTTGTTTTCATCTGAAAGTTAATTTTTTCATACTTTTCTTTTTCAAATGTATAGATGAGTGTTCAGTCATTTCACTTATCGGAATTAGAGGAAAAAGCGCGTGCTAATGCACTCAAAAGAGTGTCGGATAACTTTCAAGTTGGTTCTCATAAATTTGAATTGATCAACGTTTTTTCTATTAGAAACCAGAACAACTGGATAAAATAGACCTTATCAAATCTCGGTTTTTAAATCAAAAGGTGTGCAAAGCAGTGTAAAAATGTATATTCCCGTAAATTTTTTACAGACTGCCACAGAAGCCCAGTTAAAAATGGCACTATACAGTCAATTGGATGGTAGTAAAGTTGGATTAGAAAAGTTGGATGCTGCTCTTGAGGAATCGCATACCTGCAGAAATCGGTAAACGTTTTTATTTTATTGTGTCGTAGGCTTATCCAGTTGGGATCATCTTTGGGTACTTTGGCTGGTTTGTCTCGTCAGTTGCATGAACTAAAAAATCTTTCAACTAAATACAGTCAGGTAAAATATTTTCTTTCCATCTCTTCCAACGAATATAAATATATAGCTTGGTGCAGCTATGGAGAATATGAGCTATCTTGTCAAAGCACCTGAAAATTTTGAACAGGCTCGAAATTATATCGAATCAGAAAACCTTTTAGATGGTCACAAAATGTAAGCTGTTAAAGTGTATACTTAGTCTCTTTATTTTACATAGAATGCAAGAATTGGAAGGCATTCGAGATGAATTAATGTACGAAGTATTTCGACAAAAGTCCATGGAAGATTTAGATGTGTGTGATTACTACGTTTCCCTCAAACTTCTCACTTATACATCGTTTTGTTTCTGTTATAGACATTACGTGCATTTTTCCGGGAACTTGAAGATCTGAATGAAATGTTTCGACATAAAATAATTATGCTTGGATCACGTTTAACTAGTGCAGTAATAACGCATAATCGTTTTGTTGTGAATTGTGTTCGTGTTATCGACCGCGAGGAAAGGTAATGTCTGTGTTTATTTTCCCCTTGTTCCACCTCCCACACGGTTATTTAATGTGAGACTGAATTGCAAACTTCCGCAGAATTTTAAAGCTTAACCTATTTAGAATATGTAACAGTGTTTTTCGCATGAAGTGTACGGCCTGCGAGTATTTAAAAAAAATACTATATCATAGTGTTAGTTTTCAGTTCGCTGAGAAATAGTGTGACAAGGTGCTTAACTGAATGGGGCAGACTTTACTACTACTACTCATCAGGGAAACGGGTGGGAGAAGACAAATCATCAGTGAGACAATCTCGGAAAAAAATGGCACTATAATTAGCTCACAGGATAGACGACTGGATCGTTGGAAAGAGCATTATGAGGAGCAGTTTAATTTGCCCACAGCCACGCTCAACCTTCCGAGCATCCAACACCTCCCTGAATGGGATATAAACACAGGTCCTCCGTCACTAACTGAGGTTACTAAAGCTGTCACCAATCTGAAACTAGGCAAAGCAGCGGGACCTGATGGAATGACTCCAGAGGTATTTAAGTACGGTGGAGACAGCTTACTGTCCGGATTAACTGAGGTACTAGGCAGCGTCTGGGAATCAGAAGAAGTCCCATCGGGTTGGTGTAAGTCACTGATTATCCCCATATACAAGAAGGGAGACAAGTCTTCCTGTGATAATCACAGAGGGATTAGCTTGACTAATATAGTATCTAAAGTCTTAGGCTCAATAATCATGCGTAGACTGAGTGGTGCTCGGGAAGCACAAACACGAGAGAGCCAGGCAGGCTTTAGACCAGGAAGAGGGTGTATTGATCATATCTTCACCCTCCGACAGATTCTAGAACATAGGCATTCCTACCGGCGTCCAACAGTCATTATATTTCTTGACCTAAAGGCAGCATTCGACTCTGTCGATCGGGAAGTTCTCTGGAGATGCTTGGCTGTAAAGGGAATTCCAAGAAAATATATTGCACTGATTAAGGCACTCTACTCGTACTCATACAGCCAGGTGAGGGCTTACGGCGAGCTGTCATCTGAACTGATGACGACCAGTGGTGTCCGTCAAGGATGCCCATTATCTCCTTTTCTATTCAACTTCATCATAGATGTGTTAATGGACTTAACCCTAGGTGACTTCAGCGACTCAGGGATTGACTTGCTACCAGGGAATAATCTCGTTGACTTGGAATATGCAGACGATATAGTCCTTCTAGGCGAAGACGCTGACGAAATGCAGAGTCTTCTAAACACCTTGAGCCGCAATCTACGAATGTTTGGCATGCGATTCGCTCCCGCCAAATGCAAGATGATGTTACAGGACTGGACTACATCGACGCCTAGTTTAAAAATAGGAAGTGAAGTGGTAGAGCACGTTGACCGCTTCACTTATTTGGGAAGTACCATCAGCCCCAACGGGCTGATCTCTGACGAAATCTCAGCACGAATACAAGGGGCTCGTTTCGCATTTGTTAGTTTACGCCGACTCTGGCGTAGACGAGATGTTCGACTATCGACCAAAGGGCGGGTGTACTGCTCATCAGTCCGCTCCGTCCTCCTTTATGGTTGTGAGACCTGGCCACTGAGAGTGGAAGACATGAAAAGACTAGCTGTCTTTGATCATAGGTGCCTGCGTTCTATTTCCCGTGTAAAGTGGCATAATAAGGTGAGCAACATGGAGGTTAGGCGTAGAGTTCTAGGTAAACAGGGGAAATCAATCGACGAAGTCGTGAAGCTACAAAGACTGAGATGGTTAGGACATGTGTTACGTATGCCAAGCCATCGCCTCCCTCGACGAGCAATGTTAGCGGATATAGGGTCAGGCTGGAAAAAAGCTAGCGGCGGTCAAACAAAAACTTGGCATCAGTCAATGAAATCCACAACAGTTGGTCTAAGCCACGTAGAAAGGTGTAGACTTCCAGGCTGGGGTCCTCGGGACGGTAAAAATCTATGGTTGGAAACAATTGGTGACATGGCTCAAAACCGTTCTCAGTGGCGCAGATGCATCCACTCCCTGTGACTTATGATTTCCAATGAAACTGTTTTGTATTTCTTTATTACTCCTTTGTCTCACACCTCTGCTCACTGTTTCTATTATGCTTTTCTTGTACTTTCTTCTCTTGCTTCGCGTGCTACACGGAATGTGGCGACTTGAACTTCCGCACATTTGTGCAAAGTTCTATGTCGAAAACAGACAGACAGACAGAATTGATAATTATACATTATAATAAATGTACTGGCATCAGTAATAGGCATAATATTTGTAATCGGAGAGCCTGTCAGGATATATTTTCGCTATTAGTGCTAACGATGAGGCTATGGCGTATATGTGTAGGAGCTCGACCACTAGGTCACAGTTCCTAACATCACTCCGCCTACTGAGGTTTTAGCAGCCAGGCAGCACCATTATCCCTTAAACAATAGATGGTGCCTAAAGAAATGCAAGTGGTGGTTGAGTTAACATTTCCTCTTCCGTATTTTCCTTTTATTTGTGCTAACAGAAAATACGTTTTTTAAGCATACGATGAAGGCATAAAGGTTTTAGCGAGAACTTTCAGAGATGTTAGTTGAAACGAGTAATTCAGCTGTCATTCTCTCTTTTTTATCATCTGCATAAAAGAAAGCAAAGACTACTACATCTCAAAGATTCTATTTACTTTGAAAAGGCTTAGTGTAAGCATTAGAATAATTAATAATAAAACATCAGTTTATTCTTCATTTAATCAAAAACTTAGCACCAGGAGATGTGGCAGGAAAAACCTCATAGTTTTTGCGACAGCTGAGAGACTGCCTGGATGCCCAGACCAAAGCAGGTGACAATAGGACACATCATCATTTAATCATGAAATGGGATTCTACATAATCACAGGTTTGTAAACTAGCCTATTTACTCATATGCATTGGATAGGCATTAATAAAATATACTAAGTAATAGACAGTAGTAATATACAAGACATTACTTCAGATAGTGTTGAGAACTTGGAGAATTAAGTATGTTACCAAGGCGTAAAATCATAAGCAGACTAATACATTCGAATGTATTCAAATGCCGTCATCTGTGAATATAGATGTCATTCAGATCGCCGACAATCACCGTTCTCATCCAGATGATTTTGTTTGGTTCTTTCGTTCTTATTGTATTCTAACTTCCAGGGTCTAAATTCCTAATGAAGAGGAATCATGTAGACGAGGGGAAAATGAAACCCCTAGTCTGGACATTAAGAGTGAATACACGCTGTGTTTACGATACACTTGTAAATTGAATAAATTCCATATTTACTTAGCTTATTAGTGTCTTTAGTTAAGATTCTGTTACTTCCACCCAACCCCCTCACGCAATAACTAACTTATTCCATTAAACAACTAGAATTACCTTTAATTCAACTAGCTAACCAAACCTATCTTACCAAGATTGCTTTTTAAGTTTAGACTTTTTAGTCCCAATATGGCCTCACCGTATATTATTATTGTTATCACTATAACAATAAGTTAACATTACTTATGTTTGGTCATTATCAGGGCTGATGCAACTTGGCGGAAAAAGTCAGAGAAACATGGTTTTATGCCGGATGGACGACCGAAACAATGGAAAAAACTATTGTTTGATAGTGTTTTTAACAACATAAAAAATAAGTAAGTTAAACTAATATTTCTATGAAATATTTCAGATTCTATTAGCCCCTTAGCTTTTTTGTTACGTCTACTACTTCGTTGTGTAAGCAAATGGCACATTTAAGACATCCAGCAGAATGCTCACCAGTCACACGGGAGGTGTTAGTTCGATTCCTGACTGACTCATCCTTAAACGTCGCCTAAATCCGGAAAGGAGGGAAGATTAGAATACTTACACTGCTGAAACTTCAAAGCTTGAGGTCGTATGTTCCACTCGGAGTGAAAGAAGTTATATTAAAATGAGAGTACATTTCAAACACCAGTAAAGCTGGTTTTTATGTTGGTTTGGTTTTTGGGTGTCTCACAGACTGAGCCAACATTGTGGACTGTGCAGTGTTGCAAATACGCATTCAACTTTCCGTAGTTACATTAAGGTGGCCGTCATATTTATGTTATGTCGCGAAGAAGACATTTTTTTTGGCCTTAACAGTAAAATATGCTGCACACCATCTGTAAAAGTTTCTCCGGAGAAGAAGGACCTGAGGTCATGATCACTTGACCCTCCCGAGTGGACTGAAGGGTACCTGTCTATCTAGTAGTTGTTGTTACTATTATTGGTCCACTGGGGACAGAGGACATTCCTGCAATTACTCCATATAATGAGACTATATACTGTTCTAGCCTAGTAAAATGCTAGGATACGTGTTCTGTGCTCCTGAAAACTAGTTTATAATTACCCTATCAATGAGTCTATTATCCTACTAGTGTAGGCTTGGCTCACTGGCTTACACACTTGACTTCCAACTAGTTGGTCGGTCCTGGGTTCCAGTTCAGCTTCGTCCTACTTCAGCCTGTAAAACTTGGTAATATCCCTCAGCTCTTACATAATAAGTGCTACTCACAGTCTACTACATGGAAGATGTGTTCGGGGTAACTCAATTAAAACTAAATTACTCCTATTGTTGAAATCCCCTTGCACAGATTCAAAAGGAGTGAGGAATGACCGCAATTCTTATCATATCATTGTCGATGTATTTTTTCGTCTAGTAGTGTTAAATGCTCAAGACGTGCTTATTTGTTCAATACGCGAATTACGGTAGATTATATGTTTACTTGTGCGTCGATGGTTCGCCGATAGAATTCTCGACCAATTGCTGCCACCTTGGCGTGGTGGTCGGGCTTGCATATCGCGATTACCCAACAAGCTACATTGGCAGGAACTAATTTTCCTGAAGGTCCTACTATGCCAGGAAGATTGTTAGGATAGCGATTAGAGTAAAAGTAGTTACCGGCATAGTGTAAGAATTTTTTTATACTGTGCCTGGGGGGATGTAGGCAAAGTCGTACTGCTGGGGAACAGGGATGTAATAGCAGTGAGGTGTTCCCATCAGACGATCAGCATGCCAACCAGCCATATTGCCTCTCCACTCTGGAGAGAGGGGATTAAAAATGGTCGACCCCGACAGTTGTATATCCTGACTCTACGGTGGCCCTTAGCCGGCTAAAGTAGCTAATGCGGAACCAATCCAAAAAGCAAGTTAATACAGGCCGTGTGTAACTGACCTAAAGCAGTTGTCCTCTGGACTCTCTGGTCACACAACACTACCTCTCTTTCTGTTTCAGGTACTTGAAGAAAAAATCAACTTCTACGGTGTGGCCAACCGGGAAGTAACAACCGCCCACACGCATCGTAGAACACAAGAAGCCTCCCCAAGCACCATTCCCCTTTACCCATCATCTTACTCCCCTACTACAGTTAGTACTATTCTTCAGGTTAGTGAGTCATCTTGACTTCACTCTGCGACCACAAACAACGATGAGAGCCACAAAAACACTCCCGTCAGCCTCTTAAAGCCACGTCACCAACTTCATATAGGAGCATTCAACGTCAAGACCCTCTTCCAAATCGGACAACAGGCATCACTAGCAAGAACTTTGTCATCTCGAGCCATTGATGTTTTGTGTCTTGGAGACACGCATACAAGGCCCGAGTGTGGTCATCCACTTAACCCCACCCGGCCAACAAGGTGAATCTTCAAATGTCACTTTAAGGATGTTAGGAGATTCCCCAGCTAGTTCGAGAGGGTTCGCAGTTGTAGAGAAAGCATTGAGTTGTCTTCTCATAGTCTCCGTTTACATCCCAACCGACTTCAGTTCAGATGAATTAAAGGAACACTTCCACCAGACACGGTATGGCTTCCTGCAGAATGCGAACGCTCAAACATAGTTGTGTTTAACATGCGACTTCAATGTCCAAGTAGGGAAGTTGTGCCAGAGTGAGAAGTATATAGGCGGTACCTATGGGGTTCCCTGCCGACGAACTGAAAACGGTGATCGTCCTCTACAGTTCTTTTTAGATAATCATTTGTTCCTAGTCAGCACTAACTTTAGGCACAAACAGAGACACTGTGTAACCTGGCCACCTCCATCACCAAATCAACGTTGTATTCAAACAGACTACATAGCTATAGGGTATCATTGGCGAGGGTCAGTGGAAGACTACCACTCCTTCTGGAACACTTGCACAAGGGAAATCAATCGACGAGACTGTGAAGTTACACGTATCGAGATGGTTAGGATATGTGTTGCGCGTGCCTAAACATCGATCGCCTTCCTCGACGGGTGATGTTAGCTGACATAGGATGGATCAGGTTGGAAAAGAGTTAGTGACATCAGTCAGTGAAACCCATAATAGTTAGTTTAAGCCAGCCACGTGTGTAGCTTAAGACTTCCTGGTTAGGGTCCTCGGGATGTTAAAAACCAATGAAGGCTTAAGACAGTTAGCGATATGGCTCCAAATCGTTCTCAGTGATGCAGATGTATTCACTCTTTGTGCTTTATCATATCAAATAAAACTTGTTCTTCTCTATTACTTTTTTTGACTCATACTTCTGTTTATTATCTCTTATAAATCTCTCTTTACTCTCTTCTCTTGCTTTGTGTAATACATGAAGTGTGGCAACTCGAACTGCTGCATATCTGTGCATAGTTCTACGTTGAAAGCAGTCAGTCAGACTACTTGCCGACTATGCACGTGGCCTAGAGTTTGATCCTCGGACAATGTACTGCTAAACCTCGAGTAGCCGGCAGTAGGCCCGGTGAAGACGGAGAGTTGGGTGTGAGACTACCAACCCTACCCTGTAAATATGACCCCACTGCTACTGAAACTTCAGAAGTCTATCTTGGGGCTCTGTGTTTCACTTGGGACACTAAGGAATAAAAAATATGTATATTTATTGTCTCGTCCACAAATAAATGCCATGTTCTCTTGTTCTGATTCCACACTCTAGAGTATTCGGCAGTGCATTGGACAGTGAAAACGATAAAAATAAACTAGTTCGACACAATGAAGCCATTAGACAGCATACGCTAGCCGACCTGAAAATAGCAAAGGTAAGCAACATACACACACGCTGTAAATAGTTTATTCCAGTCGTGTATAACTAGAATTTGTATTTGAATGCGACTCCTTGGTTTACTACTGGTTGTTTCGAGACTGATTTTTTTTAATGCAAAGTTATTACTACTCAATATTCACCAAAGGATAGTAAACTGTATTTCATCCTCACAGTACTCTGACATCTCAGAGTTAAGGATCATGAAGAATGCTGAAAATGAAGAACACTGTAAGTAAGAGACGAGATAAACCTGATTTCATATGACTTTTTGGTGTTTATTGACTCCTAATTCAAAATTTTCTTGTTGCTTGAAGTCAAGCTCTGCTTTTTTGTCACCGAGTGAATGTTGATATTGTTCAGTATCTTCTTTGCTTTTTACGGGTGTTCCTCTTTAGATAGTTTTGAAAATAAGAGGTAAAATAATTGTGCTCAAAAAGAAGTACTCAAATACTGATGTCTCTAAGTATCACTGGGATTTTAATGAGCGCGAAATAGCATGTATGTCTCCAGTGTGATATTCGTTGTCAGGTAATTCTCCATATAAAACACATTGCTTAGCATTCATCCGATCATCGTGAGAAGCATTGTGGGACTGGAGGAAAACAGTTATTTAATTCAATTCGATCTTTCCCGTTGAGTGATTGAACTGAAGTGTTTGGCCTCTGTTGGTATGTTGACTGCTTGCGCGGATGCTTCGACGATGTCTGAGGATTTAACTTAAAGTAATTTGGTGGATGGTAACTAACGGTTGAATCCAGGATGCGCGTTTCGTCCTATTTTGGACTGGTTATCTGGATGTATTTGCATTCCCCAGTGGGGAGTAGTGTTCGATGAACGGGAATGTTCAAATTGAATTAAATAACAACTAACGCCCACTGGACAAGAGGTGGTTGTCGCGGCTCAAGTGGTTTAGTGGATAAAATGATGGCTCCTGGGAACACCATCAGTCATTGGAGAATGCAGGTGCGCCCAGTGACGAGTCCTAAACCAGACTAAGTGTTTAGAAAAGACTCCTAGTATCGAATATGTAGAAGCGAAACGCACACATGAATGTTCATATTTTTAAGAAATAAATTGAAGTAATCAGAAGCTGAGCGATGTCACAGCAGTTGAAAGTGAATTTAATTGATTAGCAAGTAATGAAAAACTATTTATTGGAAATATTCTTTCCTCTAGAGAAGATACTACATAAGTTTATCTTGATCATTTTCAATGATTCACCGATTATGTCAAGTCAGAAGAACTGTTTCCACTCTCTGGGCTTCATACCGTCTGAATTTGGATAACTAGCCTTAGTAGTACGAATCGGTGTGTTCGATTTCTAACTGTTTATAACAGTCTGTGGCAAAATGTCTCTATAGCCAAACTGATCATATCACCAAGACTCAGTGTTTCTCAGCGTTTTATAGTAATTAAACAGGCTCTAGAAGGTATCGAAAAGGTGACGACAAAGAATACAGGCGCATGGTTAGATAAATAGGTGTAGATTTAATGAGGCTAGTTATTCAAAGGCCAGAATTTTCATTATTGATGTTTTCTGTTATTGAGACAAAGAAGGGACTGTATACACATGCATAGTAAGAAAGTGTAAATGTAGGCGCACAAATCACGTGATGGCTGTGACCTTAGCAGTAGTTAGCATGTAAATTTATTGCATTCAATACTGATTATACGTTTTTGTGTTACTTCGTGTTGAAGGCATTATGACGGCCACCTTAAAAGAAATAGCCTACATCAATAGAGGAAATATTTTTAGTGGAAAAGTCACTTTGAAGGAAACAATACTGGAAGAAATGGAATAAAAGCGTGCAACTTGTAAACAGCATTCTTGTCGTGTATTCTAGTAACTTCCTTTTGCGTCTAATGTGAATTCATGTTCTTGCTCTTCATACTTCAAACTAGCGTTTTTAGAACCTCCCTCAAGCATCGGTGTTCTCTTTTCACGCTTCTCTTCACTATACCACAGATTACTCATGGCTCTTTCTCCCTTTCGCTTTACTGAATATCTTCCGCCTGGTATCCGGTTGTGCTTCTTTTTGAGGAGGAATCCACTGACTATTATTTATACCTATCCTCTTCTTGATTCTGTTATCTGGTATAAGCGGAACTCTTCCGTTATTTACCATGCATGTGTCTTTTTACTATGGTAACAGTTTATGTGATCCTTATCTACCATGTATGTCGTATTGTTGTGCACCACACTTAATGTAGTCTCCCACCTCGAAATGTCTACTATTTGCCACCTGCCTAGAAATCTTTATTAGCTTTCCGTCACTGAATTCTTCGGATTCTATTGTAATTTCCTGCTCAGATGTTAATTCGAAATAGAAGTCATAGTGTCCTACAATACTGTGGTAGAAACGATGGCTTCTCAGTAGTCTTCTGTACCATCAGAAGTAATAATAATCCTAATTTCTAGTTATCTCTCTGTCAAACCACTAGAAGTTGTTTTTATTCTCTTGATACCGGTTTTTTGCTCTCCACCATCACTGTGATTTGCAACAGTCTGTAAAATATAAGCTCGAGTTACTATATTTCTGCGTTGGTCACGCAACTAACTACAATGGCGTTCACTGAAATTATTCTGTGCTCTTTCACTATTATTACGAAATGGTGTTCGCTGTAACAGTCTTAATGCGTCCACTTGCTAGGGGGTCTTTTAGTTTTCTGTAGAATGCCACTATCATTTATACAGACTACAGGTGGTTTTCAGAGTATTAACAATCTCAAAGTCATCTCTTATTCCTCCAAGACCTGTTTTCACAAATTTTGGATTACCTGACAAGTTAGTTGTCTAGTTGCTGTTTCATTAAAGTTTTCTAGTGAATCGACTATAAAAGGCCACTCTTCCCAAGAACTGTTCCCTTTTAAATGTTGTCAATCTTACTACTGTTGATGTTTATTGGCAAAATGATTGAATGTGATAAGAAACAGCTAGTAACACCACTGCAGTTAGGACTCTCGCCGATCATGCACATGGTCCGGAGTTCGATCCCCTACCGACGCACACCTGATATATCTATGGTCAGCCTGCAAAATTTGGGCTACCGATATCACATGCTGAAAATTCCATACATGTACTAAAAATGCGGTGTGGAATCAAGCTGTGGGTGCGTACTGATGAAGAGTCCCAAACTAGGACGAAATAGCTGTCCAGTACTCCCAGGTTTTCCAGTGGTTCTCTAACTGATGTCAGCTCATGATTAAATCCTCCATGCAATCAAACAAAATCCCTACAAAACTAATACTTGAAAAATAAATTAATTAATTAAAAACAGTGAGTTTATTATTCTTGTATGAAGTACACCCTGGTTTCTGTGTATCTCTTTCATATTCACACAACTGTTAATTCCTTAATTATTTTTTCAGTTGTTTCTGTTTTTCACACACGCACAGTTTCCTTTTTCTCTTGTTTTCTGTATCTAGAATATCTGTCCAACATATTTCCCAGCTGACTATGCTATATTTGATCGGTTCGTGGAGATGTATCATGAAGCCATTGGAATGCATGTAGGATGAATAATATTGTTTTCATTAAAAATAATCACCATTATACAGGTTGAAAGTTTAGTGCTTGAAGGTTTATCTGATACAGAGATTGTCCAGTTACTCGGTTGGATCAATTCATATCAGTTAGTTTAAATATCGATAACGATATTTTGATTGGTTTTGTCTTTACTTGATGTTAAATTCTTTTTTTTTTCTTTACAGTACTGAAGAATTTATGAAGAATCCTTTCATGAATATTGACTTCAATCGGTTAAATCTGAAGCGTCCAATTAATTTGTTACCTGAGGAAACATTGAATACACTTCGAAAGCAGTAAGTTGGATTATTTATAAATTGTTCATCTTTCTTGTAGCTTGTAAAATGTACTCTGCTTATCAGATATGCAAAATGTGTACACCTTTTAAGCCAAAGTTATGTGAAGGTGTTTTATGTAGGCTGTAGAACTTGAGCATTGTGATCAATCTAGTGTATTTCTATATTATTAGATGGATGATGTTTTGAGCACAATTTGTCGCTTATAATCATATCAGTTTAATGATGCATCCTGTTCGGCAGTGGCTTTCATTGGATCAGTATAATTTTTAACCTCTGGTACACTTATCTGTTTATATTTTTAGAATTTTTAATATATTTGTGCGTTGAAGTTTCTCTAGCAATGTGGTTAAGTTTTGGGGATGGAGTTGCTAGCACCACACCCCAACCCTCCCTCTTTATCCGGTCTTGGGATCGGCTAGAAAACTAGCGAGCTAGTAATCTAGGCGAGAAACACATCAACCTGAAACCAATCTGGAAACCTTCGTCACTCAGCCAACATCAACAACGAAATTCGGATCTTCAATACAAACGTCAAGTCAGTCAGTTCTCCTATACGGATCAGAAATCCGGCGGATGACAAAGAATATTTCTGAATAAAGCGAGAACAACATTGATATGTGCAGAATAACATGGTACCATCATTTATTTCGTTGGCTTCTCGTCAGCTGCTTACAGCCTAAATAAATTTTCAGGTTTAAGTACAGAAACAGTACAGAATATTTCCAACAGCCTATTGCAGACCAGACCTTTATCAACAACTGTCTTCGCTGGCTCTATACTGAAGATCAGATAGCCAGGCCAGAAAGAATCGCTAACAAGAAACTATGGGAACAAACAAACAAAACAAGAATCAATCGCCAACCAAAAAATATGCAGGAGAAAGTGGAGATGGATTAAACACTCGTTGAGGAGGCCGCTGGGTGACGTCGTGCGCGCGTCAGGCCAGTGCTCGAGAGGAACCAGGCCGAAAGGGAAGCACGCGGCGAGTGGGACGTCAGTGCGAGGGTGACATGGAGGAGATCGTGTGAAGAGGAGTTGAAACAGTATGGACTAACATGGATGCAAGTGAAAAGTAGAGCAGAAGACAGAAGCAAGTGGAGACGTGCAGTTGAAGCCCTATGTTCCACTAGCAACTCAAGGGAACGATAAATAAAATATACACTTACCTGTTGAGTTAGGCTTTGAATTCAGTTTCAATTTGGAATGGTCAATGCAGGATGATAAACTGAATGATGGTGACCAACCATTGACGATAGTCTGCCTATTTTCACACCTCTGTATTAAGAATAAAAGATGTGTATTTTGTCAAAGTAATCGACAAGTTTTCATTGAAATCGCGAAATATACCCATTATTTCATAAGATTTTTTTTGGGGATTATACAATATTTCATATTTAACTGTTTAGTCCTATTTAATGATTGTGTTAGTGAGACAATTTCACTCGTCATCTATATATTATCAAGTATTACTTTGCAGGGGTTTGAATGTTTATTACAGGATTGATCATAAGCCGACATTACCTAGAGAATCATTGGAAAACCAGTGAATACTGGATAGCTATTTCGTCTTAGTCTGAGACTCTTCATCAGTAAGCAACCACTGGGGGTTCCAACCCACACACAGTCTTCCGTCTACAAGACTAGTTCGTCAACCATTCAGCCACTGGAACCTGATCTCATGACCCATGAATTCCAGCTTCTGCCAATTCGTGATACATATATATATATATATATATATATATATATATATATATATAGCTCAACCGTCCGTCAGTTCACATGTGAGTAACTGCTACCTTACTTGAATGGGCGAACTCTTTTGGTTATAACTTCTCACTAGAAGTCCAGGTAACTTTCAGTATACAGCCAGTCGCTGATGAGCATCAGATTGATTATCAAGTGTTAGTTTTCAGGAATCTGATTGGTTACTGGATTGGCCTGGTGAGAAGTCGTACCCAGAACTGTCTACCAAGTCAGGCAAGAGAACAGTCACTCGCCTGTAACACTGACGGATGGTTGAGCTAAATACATTACAAAGTGGAAGAAATTCAAACTCATGGGTCACTGAGTCGGGTGCTTGGCCCCAGTTGATGAATGACCTGGAAACTCGCCTTGTAAACAGAAGACCGCGGGTTCAGACCCCAGTGGTGGATGTGTACTTCTGGAAAGTTCCAGATTGGGATGGGACAACTGTCCAGTACTTTCTGGTTTTCCAATAGTGTTCTCTAACTGACGTCAGCTTGTGATCAATCATCTACATAAGTCATTTGTATACATATTATGTATATGCTTTGTTACTGAAATTTTGATATAGGTATGTTTCCAAAACCATTGAACGTTTAAAATCATGGTTGGCGAACTCTCTTCTGAAGGACACCTCTGTGAGTTTTTAACTGTGTTATAATTCACCTTTTTCCATTTATACTTATGGCGATATTTTACAAGAAATTTTAACGTCTTACTATTGTTATTATCAATACTGTTATTCTTGTGTAACCAGTATGCATGAATTGGTTTTCAGGATAAAATGAAATCATATAATGAGAATTGCCTAACTAGAAAAGTTATGACCACTGTAGTGTTCTTTTGTCTAGCTCGAATAGGGGGTGGTGTTCGTGATGCGAATAAAAATTGGACCAGCAAGCAAAATGTGTTCTCACTTTTGATTATAGTGGACCGCTTTTTAGACACAAACGTAGTTTTACTGTGTCCTACAACAGCCTGTAGAATGAGTACGTATCATTGCAGCTGTCACATTGTAAACTCATCTTACTGGCAACCTTAGAGAAATTATCTAGCACTTTTTGAGTACTCTTCAGAGTAAATTTTCGCTGATAGAAAGGATGGAATTTGTTGCATGCTAGAACAACCCAAAACTTATGGGTTGTATAATTCTTGTTTTTTTGTGAATGTATTTTATCGGACAGTTTTCGCATCGATTTTAAAATAATGGGGAAATCTCTTTAATGACAAAAAATGTAGAAGCTTTTACGTTCTTGCGTCTGGTGGGAATCTCATTATACTCATGTAGTTCTTAATTATCGTTCTCAGAGAATTACTTATTATTATTGTAACAACAGAAGACAATGGCCAGACAACAGATCGTTTATTATGGAAATCGACACATATTTGTAGATTATTGTTAGCAGAAAAATACAGTCTTCTGATTGGTTGTTTCTCACAGAAAGTTAACCTTACATTTATTTGTGGTTGTGTTATGTACTCGTCGCCAAATTATTGCTATGTACTGGTCGAAAATTTAATAGTCCTGACGCAAGAAGGCGGAAATCAGAAGACCACTAGGTTTGCGATGATACTTCTATTTTCCAAACACAAGGAGAATGCAAAAGTGGTATCACACCAAAGTGTCACACAAGATTGTGAGAGCGAAATATATATGAATGTCCAGACAAGTGTGTGAACAAATCAATAGACAGTCTTACCATGAATGGCTAATTATAATGGAGTGTCGATCCATATATACATAGCAAAATATAGCAGACATGTCAACAACCACACATATAATATGGATATATGTCACCAAGCAACGGGCTGTCAACAAACACTCATATTATATATAATATAAGGGGAATATACTTTGATAAAGGAGACAGGTTCATCAAAGTGCAATGGTCACAGACTAAGCGAGCAAACAGAAAGAGAGACCACCATATATATATATATATATATATATATATATATATATATATATATATATATATATATATATATATATATTGGGATACATAACAGGTTGTTTCTTTAATGTCAGATCATCTATATGTTAACTGTATCCGCCTACGCAAAGCCTTTCTTCTCATTCTTCTCACGACCAATATTGGGGACATAAACATTGACGTGAATTACTGTCCACCAATTTTGACTAACAACCAGCTCTCACCACATCATAATTGTTCCCTGGAATTCCGAGTGGAACATAGGGTTTCAACAGCACATCTCCCCACTTCGTCCTATTTTCTGCAGCCCTCTTCATTTGGTCCGACGATTGCCCATAATCTCTCATCTCCTCTCATGGTCACCTCTATGTCGCTCCCTCACCAACTGTCTAATCTGCGTTTCCCGCTCAGATTCCATTTGAGTGATGGTCTGGCACGTGATGTCACTCGGTGCTCCTCTCAGCATGTGTGCGATCCATCTCCATTTTCTTCGGTGTATTTGTTGAGCAATGGGTTCTTGATTGGTCTTTTCTCAGAGTTTCTTATCGCCTATACTTTCTGGTGATCTGATCTTCACTAGGGAACCAGCGAAGGCAGCCCTTGATAAAAGTTTGCAGTGGCCTGTTAGGAATGCTTCTTCTTTATGCTGGCTGAGGGCAGAAGATTTCCAAACTGGTTTCAGGTTGATGAAGATCTGCGTTGCCTTTCCGATTCTGGTTTTGACATCCTCATCCGACCCGTGTGTCCCTGTAGGTGAAATGATGCTATCCAAATAAGTGAAACTGGCCTCGTTCAAATTCCTCTGGTTGATAGTGATCAGTTCTTTTTCTTGTTGTTGTTACCTTCATCACCTTTCTCTTATATGTTTACTTGAAGTCCTGTCTTCGCTGCTTCTTCTGTCAGTTTGTTGGTTCCCACTTATAAATCTTCGAGTTTGTGTGACATTAGACATAAATCATCCGTGGAATCCTGATCTTCTGGAGACAACCGACAGTACAAAAACATCCATCTTTACTATTTTAAGATTGATACGAAATTAAATTACTTAACTCAAAGAACTCAGACACACATCAAACAGACTTGCGCACCAATGACTATCTTTTCTGTGGTTTGTCCCAATATAAGTAACTTCCTTCATTAGTTGGATTTTTCTGATTTAGCTTTCGTGTTTGTTCTATTATTTGATTCCTTTTTATGAGGAATACATTTGCTCACTATTATCAATATCCAGACGATAGATATTGCGTATTTCCTAGAATAGTTTGAGTGCTCATTGTTATCGAATCATCATAAACTAACTCTTGAAAATTATTCTGATGCTCACCAGTGTCTGGCCTGCAGTTTTAGTGAGAATTTGTGACCACTGAGGTTCACCGAGTAGGATGTGAGGCTGAATATTCGCCGATGGTATTGTCTGACTGTTGTGCTGAAATCGCGAATAGACGGAGGTTAGAATTCCATATTAGTTTGTTTATTAGATGTATCACACAGTGAAACAGTATTATTTACTGGATGAAGTTTAGAACAAAATTTATTGTTCATAATCATATCAATTATAATCACACGAATTGGAAACTTGAGTTTCATAGTTTTGTTTGTCTTCTCTTATTTGCCGTTGATGTAGTAGAATTTTCCAGATATCTTGGACAGGTGTTAAATTCCGACGTAAAAAGGAAAGAAGATGGGAATTTAAACACTAGTGTTTACAGGAAACCCACACATTCAAACAGATATGTGGACTTCCGATCATCCCATCCTATGTCAGTAAAAATAGGATTAGTGAAATGTTCAAATGACGATGCACAAAAACTAAGTAGTACCAAAGAAAATCTAAGAAAGGTAGTGATACACATAAAAGAAGCCGTGAAACTTAATAAATATCCGGATAAATTAGTCAGGAAATATGTAAGCAAATGTAAAAATAAAATAAATAATGACGGCAGCAATAGTGATGGTAATAATAATAATAAGAGTGACGACATGCATGTCAAATATGCGCAAGGCAGCACTAAGAATAAGGAATCTAAATCATCAGTAGTAATTCCATACAAGGAAGGAACCTCGGAAACCTTACGCAGAATTCTTACCAAGGCAGGAATAAAAGTGGCTGGCATTCAAACCCACAAATTCAATTAGAAAGAAGCTTTGTCGGTTAAAGGATCCTGTGGAGCCTTTAAAACAAAACAATTTAGTTTATCTAATACCCTGTCTGTAATAATTGTCAGGTCAAATACATAGGTCAAAGTGGTAAAACAGGTCCAGTCAGACTGGCGGAGAATAAAAACCTAGCAAAATCTAGATACGTTGACCCAAATAAGATAAGAAATCTAGAGAATAGTTCAGCTATAGCACTACATACAATTACACACAACCATACAATAGGATGGGATAGGATGACGGTTTTAAAATCTAATGTCACAGGGTATGGGGAGGGATTGATAACAGAGGCTATGTTTATCTAATCATGTGCAAATATATGTAATAGGAATGATTCAACACCTGTCCCAGATATCTGGAAAGTTCTACTACGTCAACGACGACAAATAGGAGAGGACAAAGAAGACTATAAAACTCAAGTTTCGAAGTCGTGTGATTATAATTGATATGATTATCTAAATGTGTTAAACGCAATTTTCCTGCAGCTGACCTGCAACTAGTTTTTACCAGCCGAAATATGATCAGACAATACGTCAAGGATAGATTACCGCTTTTGTCCACATCTATGTGCATTTACTCTTTTACTTGCTCTTGTGGAGCTGTTTATATTGGACGTTGTAAGCGTAATCTCCGAAAACGTGTAGCTGAACACCATCCGGTTTGGTTAATGAAAGGCGAACGTCGAACTGCAAAGTCGTCTATTTGTGATCACCTGTTAGAGTCTGGTCATTTAGCCCCACGTGATTCATCTTTCAAAGTTATATACATGGCAATATCGAATCAATCCAAAAGTTAACGTTTTCTTCACTTATGCATAGCCGAAGCTTTAGCTATACATGAACAGAAACCTAAATTATGTGTTCAAAAGCGTTTTGTCAAACCCCTTTTTTTTACCTTAGTCATAATAATGTTCTTTCTAGTTTTTATTTTATTTTACCACTTGAATTCTTGCCAATTCACTTCACATCTTCATTCTTATCGTAATCGTACTCCTAATTTTTAAAATTTTTAGACAACACTTGACATTTTTGTTATAGAACAATCTTTAATATTTTTGTAATTTATCCACTTCAACTCTACCCCTTATAACTTTTATCACATATATACGTACATTGACTGAGCAATTATTTAGTGCCACTTAATAACCTTTTTCTGTAACATAAATACGACTGTACAGTTTGAAAATGAAGTCGTTGAAAAGAAATTTCTTCTCTGAACAAAAAACTGTGTTTTCATTTATGAATAAATGGGTATTTTTCGAGATATGATTATGGACAATGAATTTTGTTCTAAACTTCATCCAGTAAATAATACTGTTTCACTGTGTGATACATCTAATAAACAAACTAATATGGAATTACTACCACAGTGCCCAAGTTTTACACATATATTAATAAGGAGGTTAGAATTCACGGGTTGATTGATCAACAAACTTGGCCTCGTAAATTGAAGAGGTCCTTGATTCGATCCCCTGTGGGATTTGGTGTGTGTATATGTGCTGAAAAGCTCCAAAGTAGGACGTTACAGCTGTCCAGTACTCTCCGGTTTTCAGTGTCTCTCCTACTGATATCAATCCGTGACCAGATCTGAAATTAATCAAATATCTACAAACTGACTCTAGAACATTAAAAAATTGTTCAAAATAACAATGCAAAAACAAAAATCTTCTTTTGATTCTCTGAACACTCTGGAATTATGTTAAATAGTTTTGATAATGACTAGAAAATTGTATCACCGAATTCAATTCTATAATTGTTCAAAAGTTAAGTTGGTAGATATATACTATAGTTGATCATAGAGCCAAACCTAAGTACTTTATTTTGTACCCTCTCTATGTGTGTGCCCCATGATATTTAATGATGTGAATTGTTGTCTTTTTTGTTTTATTTTAGGATTGGCAACGTTCCACCGGTCCTGAGTTAGACGGCTCTTCCAATTATTTCACTGACTTGCCTGTATTGGTCATGACACCTGTCAATGAGATGGTAATTTATGCAGTCATATGTTGTTGTTTTCAAATTATACAGCATATTTTCTAAATTATTATATTATTACTATATTCTTTAATTCCTAGAGGAACATAGGGCTTCAGCTGCGCACCTCCATTGCCTTCTGTTTTCTGCCAACATTTTCACCCCGCTCCAAGTCTGCCCACAAGCTTTCATCTCCTCTTCACATGACCTCCTCCAAGTCACCCTCACACTGACGACCAACTCGCAGACCGCTTCCCTTTCGGGTTCCACTCGAGCAACGGCTTGTCTAGTGATGTCACCTGATGCTTTCCTCAGAGTATGGCCAATCCATCTCCATTTCTTCCTGCCTAGTTGTTTTACAATCGGTTCCTGGTTGGTTCGCTCATTGCCAGAGATCCCTGTTCCTGATCTCTTCTGACCGGCCATCTGATCTTGAGTATTGAGCGAAGACAACTGTTATTGAAGGTCTGAAGTTTGTTTGAGATGCACTTTATGACGCGCAGTGCAAGTCTCTGATCCGTATAGTAGCACTGACTGGCTTCACATTGGAGTTGAAAATCCGGATCTTATTTTTGATTCTGAGTGCTGTTGACCTCCACACAGACTTGAGAGAAATGAAAGCTCGTCTTGCTTTTCTGATTCTGGCTTTGATATCCTCGTCAGTTCCGCCTGTAGTTGAAACGATGCTTCCCAGGTAGGTAAGGGAGGTTGTTTCCTTCAGGTTCCTCCCATTTATGCTGACTGATTGTTGTCTGTTTTTGTTGTTGCTGTTGTTGCCAGGAATCTTCATCACCTCTGTTTTATCTATGTTTACCTGAAGTTCTATCTTTGATGCTTCTTCTGCCAACTTGTTACTTTTCACTTGCATATCTTCTAGTTTGTGGGAAATCAGACACGCATCATCGGGGAAGTCCAGATCCTCCAATTGTTTTTGTGTGAGACCATCTTATGCCTGTTTCCTCATTGCCCGTTGTCTGTCGCATTATCCAGTCTACTGCAATCAGGAAGATCATTGGCGATAGTAGGCAGCCTTGCTTCACTCCCGTCCTCACTTCGACGTATTCTGTAAGTTTCCCGTTGTGGATTACTTGGCATGCAGCACTGTAGTATAACTGTTGGATGAGATGTATAATTGTCGATGGCACCCCGTAGTAGCGAAGTAGTTTCCAAATGACCTCTCTATCGACGCTGACTGTTGAAGGCCTTTCCAAAGTCGATGAAGTTGAGTGAGTAGAGGTGACTGCCATTCCAAGCTTTGTTAAATGATGATCCGTAGAGTGGCGATTTGATCAATACATGATTTGTTTCTCCTGAATCCGGCCTGTTCCGGACGAAGTTTTTCATCTAGGGCTTGTTTGATTCTCTCCAGGATGATGCGACTTAGTATCTCTCTTGGAATGGAGAGAAGCATAATTCCGCGCCAGATTTTGCATTGACTTAAATCTCCTTTCTTTGGTAGTTTGAATAAGTATCCTTTCTTCCAATCCTCAGGTACTTTGCCCTCTTTCCACACCTTCTCCAGTAGTGGTGGCATCAAGTCCGATGTTGTCTCTGGGTCCATTTTCAATGCTTCTGCTCGGATTCCATCTGGTCCTGCTGCTTTTCAGCTTTTAGCATCTTGATTGCATTCAGGACTTCTGATTTCGTCGGGAGGTCGATGTTCACTGGTATTTCTGCTTCCGTTGTCGGTATTGTTGGACGCGTTGTAGGTGGCGGTCGATTTAGAAGTCTTTTGAAGTGTTCAGCCCAGTGTTTTCTTTGCTCCATCTCTTTGGTGATTGACTTTCCATTGTCATCCTTTACTGGCTTAATCTGTGTCGAACTTTTGCCCGATAGGTTCCTATTTGTTTGGTAGAGTGTGGCGAGGTCTCCTTTGCCTGCAGCTTGTTCTGCTTCGTTTGCCATGGTCACATAATATTCTCTTCTGTCTTCCCTGGCACTCTTCACTCTTTTGTTCAGTGTATTGTAGCTTGCATTCAGCTCCTGTTTTAGTTGCTCGTCAGTGCACTGAATAATCTTTTGTTTCACTGTCCTTCTCTCTTCTATTAGTTTCCAAGTGTCCGCAGTGAGCCACTGTTTGTCCTGCCTCTTCTTTCTGCCTAGAACTTCCATGCAGGTTTGACTCCACACCGTTTTCAAGTTGTCCCAGTGCTTTTCGACGCCGACCTTTTCGCTAGTGTTGATTTGTGTCTCGGCTTCGTCGTTTATGCTTACAATGAAGATGTCCTTTGTATCTTGCTCCTTCAGTTTTTGAGTGTTGAACTTGGCTTGTGGTCTATCTGCAGCTCCTGTTTATCTGAAAGCTTTTGATTTGGATTGTCCCTTGTACGCGATAGTGGTCTGAGCCAACGTCTTCTCCTCTTCTTACTTTTGTGTCCAGTAGGCTGCTCCTCCACTTCCTTGAACAGCATTCAGCTGAAGTCAATTTGGCTTTTGGTTTGCCCAAAGGTTTTTCTAAAAGGATATTTTTATTGTCATATCGTTTCCACTAGTTTTCGTGCATAGTGTCGACTGTTGATTTTAAATTCATACTTTGATCACAGTAACCAGACTTCACATTGATGTCTTATAGCCGACTGGTAATTGTTCTTCACACCGGAAACATCTTGAACATGTTATGACACAAATCTTATAAATAAATAATTAATTAAACACAATGCAAGGCACGTGTTTCATTCCATTTGTGCAACAGGAGAAGACAAGAGACTTGGTAACGGAGTGTCTATTTGCACTTTGATATACACATATAGGGAAATTATGTACACCTTATCTGAAAATCGTCATTTGCACACAGATCTTCAGTGTTGTGCTTGCTCCTTCTTCCTTTTGTATTGTGTTTTTCTGTCTTCTTTTGTGTCCTGCATGTTTCTCTGCAATATCGGTACATTTTCCCACTTGTTCTTTTTTTAACGTCAAATCTATCTCTCTGCTATTTGATACTTTTGTGCCGATGACCGTCTCCTTGTACACTTACTGATAAATCTTGTCGGTAGCACACACCACCACACTTATAGTTCTCTAGGTGGCGTATATTTTCACTTGGCATAGTTTAGACCCTTTCTAACTTCTAATGTGAAAGTGTTGCACAGTAATCTCTCCAGTTTTTAAGTAGAAAATGTCCACTGATTGTACCAAGGTCTTCATAAAAATTAATTGTCTTATATGAAGATAGAGTTTTATTTGATGTTGAATAGATATTTATCCGCATGTGTGTGTGTGTGTGTCTTCCCGCCTTTCTTGTTTTTCGGAGCTCCAGGTGAAGTGAGATGGAAAAGCAAGTTGACCAGTTAATTGACTGTTGTTTGTTCAGACGTTGGTTTCATTATCGCTTTATGTATGTGTGACTGATTAATTTCACGATATAATCCAAAATAATGTCAAAACCTTCCTGAAGAAGACTGTCAACCACAATCTACAACTTCGACATGTGTGTTTGTGTTGAATGCCAGCGTCATTTTATGATAATGTGAGGTTTTTTCTGCATAGCAGTTCAAATAGGCGTTGATATATATATATATATATATATATATATATATATATATATATATATATATATAGCATATTAAGGCAAGCAGTCGAATTTCTCCCAGTCGGTACTGATTTCGAATCCTACTTCAGCCTTGGTAAATGGGTTGTATATTATTAGCGCTTATAGGATAAATACGGCTCATATCCAGACACATGGAGAATGTGTTCTAGGCAATCACATTCCAACCGAGATTCCAAATAACGCTACTTCTGTCTATCTCCAATGGATGAGATGATTATTTTCTGTTAGGCAGATTAATAAAACAAAAAGAGAAACAATGTCTGACATGTGTCATCATATAGAATATTTTTAATATTCTTCAACGTCTATTCACTACATCTTTGTATTTTATTTTCTAAAATAGACTAACCCATTCCTTATTATATTGTACAGATTGGTAAAGGGAATTTACTACACTACTTGGGAAATGCTGTTAAAGAACAATTTCTTACTCAGTGTGTTGAAGAAATGAAGTTGTTCGCGAAAGATTATGATGGTAAGTTGTAGTTTCCTTCTAGTATTTCCTGGTGTTCCGTAGTAAAGTTGGTTCTCCTTGCTAACGAAACTTCAAGCCTCTAGCTTGAAGCACCCTATGTTCCACTGGGAACGTAAAGGAATAAAAAAAAGTTGTCACCTACACCATTTGGTTTACAGTGTTTAACTTAACGTCCTATGGTATACATCAATCGCTAAAATCTATGATCAATCTGCCTTATAACCAATTGACAGCTCCTGGTTAAGGAATTTGAACTGTTAATGGGTGCTAAGATGCATGACGTATGTATTCAGGAGTTTCTGTTCCAGTTAACTTTGTCCAGGGATTTGTGTATTCCAACAAAGGTAAAGAATTGTTTTTTTTCTGTACTTGGGAAAATGAATACATATCTGCTCAAAGTTCTACAATGATTAGCTAGTCGTCAGGAATGTATCTTTACGAAATAATGAAGATGCTTTTCTTCAATGTTGAATTTTCTCAACTGGAAGATTCTGTTGCAATCATTTCATTGTCTTTCTAAGCGAAATATTCAGTGTTAAAATTCGGCATGTCTATCTCTTCGCTTATATTGAAGATAATAATTATGACTACTCTAGTTCATCATTCACCACAAACAACGATGAGAGCCATAGGAACACTCCCGACAGCCTCTCAAAGCCACGTCACCAACTTCAATGTCAAGACCCTCTGGTAAATCGGACAACAGGCGTCACTAGCAAGAACTCTGGCATCTCGAGCCGTGGATGTGTGTTGTGTCTCGGAGATACGCATACTAGGCCCAAGTGTGGTCATCTACTTAACCCCACCCGGCCAGCAAGGTGAATCTGAGGAATTCACTTTAAGGGTGTCAGGAGACCCTCAGCTAGTTTGCGAGGACTCTCAGGTGTGGGGATAGCATTAAGTGTGAGGGCGGAAAAATCACTTTTTGACTGGATCCCAGGAGATAGTCGTATTTGTGCAGTCTATCTGAACGGGTCCCTTAGAAGAAAGAAGGATGGCGTTACCCGTCGTTGTCTTCTCATAGTCTCCGCTTACACCCCAACCGACTTCAGTTCAGATGAATTAAAGGATCATCCTTACCTGAAACTGTGTAATCTTCTGCAAAAAGCAAAACGCTCAGACATAGCTGTATTTAGCAGGCGACTTTAATGCCCAAGTAGGAAAGTTTTGCCAGACTGAGGAGTATGTAGGTGGTACATATGGAGTTCCGTGCCGACGAACCGGCAACGGTGATCGTCTTCTACAGTTCTATTCAGATAATCATTTGTTCCTAGTCAGCAGTAACTCTAGGCCCAAACAGAGTCACTGTGCAACCTGAAGACGCGAACTAACAGGAAACCTTCATAACGACCGTGAACAGTGGTGGGCGACAAAAGCGAAATATATGGAAAAGGCATCGGCGATTGGCAACACCAGACAACTATTTAGACTTATCAGGGAAACAGGTGGTAAAAGACAAATGATAAGTGAAACAACCTTTGAGAAAAATCACACCATAATTAGCTCTCAGGATAGACGACTGGAACGCTGGAAAGAGCACTATGAGAAGCAGTTTAATTGGCCTACAGCCAAGCTCAACCTGGCGAACACCCAACATCTCCCTGAATGGTAATATGGACACAGGCCTTCCGTCCCTGACTGGGGTTACTAAGGCCGTCACTAATCTGAAGCGAGGGAAAGCAGCACAACCCGATGAAACGACACCAGAGGTATTTAAGTACGTTGGAGACAGTTTACTGTCTGCATTAACTGAGGTTCTAGGCAGCGTCTGGGAATCTGAGGAAGTCCCGTCGGGTTGGTGTAAGTCACTAATTATGCCCATACACAAGAAGAGAGAAAAGTCTTCCTGTGATAAACACAGAGTGATTAGCTTGACTAATATAGTATCTAAAGTCCTAGGCTCAATAATATTGCGTACACTACTAAGTGGTGCTCGGGATACACAAGCACGAGAGAACCAGGTAGGCTTTAGACCAGGAAGAGGGTGTATTGATCATATCTTCACCCTTCGACAGATTCTAGAACATACGCATTCTTACCGGCGCCCAACAATCATTATATTTCTTGACCTTAAGGCGGCATTCGATTGTGTCGACCGAGAGGTTTTCTGGCGATGGTTGGCTGTAAAGGGAATTCCGAGAAAATACATTGCACTGATTAAAGCACTCTACTTGAACTCATGTAGCCAGCCAGGTGAGGGCTTACGGCTCGTTGTCATCCGAAGTGGTGACAACTAGTGGTGTCCGTCAGGGATGCCCATCATCCCCATTCGTATTCAATTTCATCATAGATGTACTGGTGGACTTAACTCTAACTCACTTCAGCGACTCATGGACTGACCTGCTACCAGGGTATAATCTCGTTGACGTAGAATATGCAGATGATGTAGTCCTCCCTCCCGACGCTGACAAAATGCAGAGTCTTCTGAACACCTTGAGCTGCAATCTATGGATGTTTGGCATGCGATTCGGTCCCGCCAAATGTAAGATTATGAAGCTACAGAATTGGAATGGACCACACTGACTTCTAGCTCAGAAATAAGGAGTGAAGTGGTGAAGCACGTTGACCGCTTCACTTATTTGGGAAGTCCCATCAGCCAGCACCAACGGGTTGATCTCTGACGAAATCTCCGCACGGATGTAGAATGCTAGTTTTGCACATACCAGTTTACGTCGTCTTTGGCGTAGACGTGGTATCCGGCCGGCTGTCGACGAAAGGGTGGGTGTACTGCTCAGCAGTCCGCTCCGTCCTCCTCTATGGTTGTGAGTGAGACATAGCCATTGATCAGTGCAATGTATTTTCTTGGGATTCCTTCCACAGCCAAACATCGCCATCGTACTTCTCGGTCGAATCGAAGACATGAAAAGCCTGTCTAGCTGTCTTTGATCATAGGTGCCTGTGTTCTATCTCATGTGTGAAGTGTTATAATGGGGTGAGCAATATTGAGGTTGTGCATCGAGTGCTAGGTAAGAGGAGGAAATCAATCGACGAGGCTGTGAAGCTACATCGACTGAGATGGTTAGGACTTGTGTTACGAATTCCTAGCCATCGCCTTACTCGACGGGCAGTGTTAACTGACATAGGATAGGTGAGGTTGGAAAAGGACCACTGGTAGTCAAACCACAAGATGGCCTCATCAGTCAATGAAATCCACAACAGTTAATTAAAGCCAGCCGCGTAGGAAGGTGTAGACTTCCTGACTGGTTGGGGTCCTCGAAACAGTAAAAAGCAATGGCTGGAGACAGTTGGTGAAATGGCTCAAAATCGTTCTCAATGGCTGGCGCAGATGTATCCACTCCTTGTGACTTATAATACCTAATGAAACTATATTGTTCGTCGATATTACTATTCTTTTTGCCGCATATCTCTCTTTACCCTCTCTATTTTTCATTTCATCTAGGCTGTTCTCTTGGTTTGTGTGCTAATTGAAATGTGGCTACTTAAACTGCTGTACATCTTTTCAAAGTTCTGTGTTGAAACCAGTCAGTCAGTTCATCATAGGAAAGTTATTCACACAGTCATTGTGCTAATATTATCCTTATCAGACATGCTCTTGTTTTCATGAAATGCTCTACATTCTCTGAAATTTATGAATTTTTAAAACTCCTCTCCGTTTTGTCTTATTTTTGTTTAGACGATATTAAGAAATACCGTGCAGCGTATATACAAGACAGATCGAAATTCCCGTGCTACATAGAGTATATTGTAAGTTTTCTCATGAGTATAGCTTCTTATTATAGTTATTCATTTTTGTCACCTGGTGGCTGGTCAGCAGTTGAATCACATGACTTGGCTAATTGTTATGTACTGCTGCTGAGTGAGTTATTATTAGTAGTTGTCCCCGTCGCCAATTATGTTATGTACTCGTCGAGTAGTTAATAGTCCTGACGCGGAAAGATGGAAATCAGAAGACCACCAGGTTTACGATGATACTTGTATTTTCCAGACAAGGAAAATAAATGTCACACAAGAGTGTGAGTGAAACGGTACGTAGTGTACGAAACGTGGGAACAAGTGTGAACAAGTATACAGTACAAAAGTATATATAAAAATGACTAATACACATGAACCAATAAATAGACAGTCTTAACATGATTGGTTGTAATGTCTTGTAACAACAAGGTCATACATGTTTATTTAGTTAATGGACAGACAAAAGCATATTGTCAGTTATAATGAAATATCGATCCATATACACAGCGAAATGTAACAGACTGTCAAAAACAGAACACACATCATGCGGATACATATCACTAATAAAACTCCTGACCAATTATCTGGAGGCTACGGGTTCTTATCTTGCTGCGACTCAGCTTTAAGCGGTGTTCATTAATAGTTTCAGCTTGCTGATCCATGGCTATCTCAAGTAGTGTCATGTACGATTACTTATCTGTTCGTAAGGTCTGGTTTTTCACAGGCGTGAAAATCTTTTAGTGTTTGTGTTGACAGTATAGTTTCTTTTTCGGGGTTAGGGGAGGGGGGCTAATTACTCAGTAAACGATTCAGTTTTCTGTGTTATTGCATCTGCTTGTTTCAGATTTGTAGGGCAGGTTCAAACTGTAGGTACTGCCGTCGATTTCTACGCGCAAATGAACCAGTGGTGTTTTTGTGATATACATATATGCACCCGTAAAATACAAATCGAAGCTATTGTCTTTTTTTTAATAATTCTATTTATCACTGTTAATTAGCAAATACCTCATATAGTGCTTTTTTAATGATTTTCGTTTAGCTAGCCAATGCAAACGGCGCTCATATGATCGCGCATAGTTTTGTCACGGTAATTATGGAAGAATTGGCTGAAGATTCATACCTCAAAGGGAATTTATCAGCTCGAATTGGCTACTTAAAATCAGAATATGAAAAAATTGCTGAACAATGGTTGGTGAACTGATTAGCTTGTTGATTTACTGTGTAGTTTGTAAAAGCCACAATGCCCGTCCTTTTTTATATTGTCTACTGTGCACTCCACTTCAGTCACTTCAACTGAATGAATACTCGTCAAGCAATCTGTGTCTCCTTAGAATCTTGTTTACAAAATAAGCCATGAAGTTTGGTTAAGGAGACTTTCGCGTCGGTATTCTAGAGACTTCCGGCTCAGATCGCCCTGTTGCCCAGCCACCATCACCTTTTTTCATCAATTTGATAAGCCAAGACTACTAGGCGGCCTGCATAAAACTTCGGCTACCGAGAATCTCAATCGATATATATATATATATGTTGCATATAATTTCTCTTATTCAGTTTGTTTAAATCTCCTAAAGTGTATGACCTCTAATAGTACTTACTGTTTATTCTGGCGAGTATTTAAAACATTTACAGACTGCTGATTCGTAGGTTTCTACTAAAAATTTGAAAAAGCATTGTCATCGATGGCAGCTTATTCCAGTCAGTATATGAGATGAATGTTCCTCAGTGGTGTCATTGGTTCACAAAATGTACTCCTAAACTATTTGTAATTGGCATTCAACAAACTGTCGTATATTTCTTCAAGGGGAAAAAAGAAGAGGAATCATAATGGATTAGTTTGCGCTTCAGGCCAGATAGAGAACTCTGTCACACACGATCTACTGTCAATTAATCTGTTTTATTTGAAGCTCCTGGACGAAGAGAAAACATCATGCAATAAACTCTGTACATTATACAAACGTTGTTCAGAATAAAGCTATTACTATTGTGTAGGATAGTTCAAATGAAAAGAGGATAGACCGATCAGATAACTTTCAATCAGTCTTCTATTCATAGTCAACAAGTTTAGTTTAATTCCATGCTTAATCTCTGTTAATTAGGAAAGTGTTATAAGTCTTACATACGTTTCGCAGGCAATCGTGTCGTTTGACTATTTGTGTAAATAATTATTCTTTGTTCAAGATATAATGGGTTAATATTTATGCTGAAAATATTTATTTGCTTTAATATTACCCACCTTAAGGATCACGTACGCTGAAGAAACTGTATTCATGGATTTAAACCGGGTTCTTGGTGTTGTTATGACTTCCAAATGGTGAGTATGTCTTTCCACAGGGTCTCTTTGAAACAGTTATTAAATCCGATTTCAGTTTGATACCGTAACATTCTGTGTGCTAGCTGTTTACCGTAGCAGGCAGCCCGAATTCCTGTGGTTTGAACTGATTTGAGACGACGGGTTAAGCCAGGTAGGTGGGCATAGCGCTGATAAGCTGGAAATCAAACGGATGATTGGAGTTTGTATCATTTAAGTCTGGCTAGCAGGCACTAGTGATTTTTTGCGAGTAGTTTTCAACTAAGGAAATTAGCACATATTTATAGATTTTCATGTACATTAATATAGATTATTGTTAGCAGAAAAACACAGTCTTCTGATTAGTTGTTTCTCACTGAAAGTTAATCTTTGATCTCTTTGTAGCCGTTTATTGAAGTTCAGATTATCTACCTGAAAATTGAATCCGCCCACGCAGTCTGCTGTGGTTGGTTGTTGAATCAGTCTTTGTTCTTATTTTTCCCATGACCAATATTGAGGACGTAAACATTGACGTAAATTGTTGTCTACCGATTTGGCTAGCAGCCAGCTCTCACCACACTACTACTGTATAACAGTCCTCTCTGTCCTCCTTTTTGGCTGTGAGACATAGCGATTGCAAGTGGGAGATATGGAAAGGCTAGTTGTCTTTGACCACACAGGTTAACATTCTATCTCTCGTGTCAAATGATGTAGTATGGTGAGTAATATTAAGGTCATGCGTAGAGTGCTCTAGGTCGGAAAGGCAAGTCAATCGATAAAGGTAATGAAGCTGCGTCCGTTGAAGATGGTTGGGATACGTGTTGCGCACACTGAGTCACCGTTAAGCAATGTTAAATGACACCGAATTACGTTGGAAAAGTTGAGAGTTTGACAGTAGGTTTGAGCCACATAGGGAAACATAGACTGTCCTGTTGTAAGGTTTTCAAGACAATGCTACAGATGCATTTTTTCGTCTTCATAAGCTCCGGGTTCTGTTAAATCCCTATTATTCTACATGTACTTATTCTTCCTTTGGTACATCACTGCTCTCACTATAGTCCCTTTGAATGTTTTTTTCTTTTTCACTATCTCTGTGTTTGTGTGTGTGTGTGTGCTATATGGAGTGTAGCAACTTGAACTACGGCACTTCTGTGCAAAGTTCTAGTTACATATTTCCACAAAGATTACCGGAATGATTTTCATCATTGCAATATTTCTTTGTCCGGTGTTGTTTGTGTTACCAGACTATGAGGCACATTCTCGTTTCAGGAAGGTTTATGATCAGGTGGGAAATGGGATTCGAAGGCGAAATTCGTTATCTGAAAAAGTAAGCCAGATCTATGCTGTATCTGGTGTAATACAACAGAGGCGTCAATCGCTTTACTTCTTGATATAAATATAAAACTTGGGCACTGTGGTAGAGCATAACTCCATTATGGATAAGATTTGATAAGATTTGATAATTCACACAGTGTTGTACAGTAATATTAACTGATGACCACGTTTCGAGCACATATTATTACTCATTATCATATCAAGTTACTCACATTACTTTTTCCTTCATTTATATACATGAGTGGAACTGATTAGACATTTGAATAAAATCAATACAAGATAATGTACATTCAGAAATAATAATATGAGTCTTATTGACCAATTACAATTAGATGGGAAATAAGACGAGTGTTTTTATAGTCATAATAAGTTACTTGTTAGAATTTAATTGGCGGATGGTGACTAGCAGTGGAATTCAGGATGCGCATTTCGTCCTATTTGGGACTCGTCATCTGGATGTACCTGCATTTCTCGGTGAGTGATGCTGTTCCCCAAATTCAATAAAAATACCTGTTAGAATGTTGTGATGTGTTTGAATTGAAATAGAATTTTGTGATTATTTATTGTCCTCTTCTGATTTGACCGGCGGTACAATAATGTAATATATAATAAAATTAACAAAATACCCTGCAATGACTGTGAGGTCAACTACATAGGTCAAACTAGGAGGTCGGGAGTAATCAGATTGTTGGAATATAACAATTTAGCTAACGTAAGAATGGTTGACCCTGAAAAGATAAGTAATTTAGAAAATAGCTCAGCACTTGTAATGTAATTAACACACAACCACACAATGAGGTGGTTGGTTAAAATTCGGAAAAGTTATAAAGGTAGGCAGAGAGAGAGAGAGAGTTTGAGTCTACACCAAACACATGCAACAGAATAGACTCAATACAAATACCAGATTTATGGAAGATATTACTACCAGTCAAATCAGAAGAGAATAATAAATAATCTTAACATTCTAATTCATTTCAAGCACAGCACAACATTCCAACAAGTTACTTATTTTGACTATAAAAACACTTGTCTTATTTCCCATCTGATTGTAATTGATGAATATCACTCATGTTATTATTTTTGAATGTACATTATCCCATATTGATTTTTACTCAAATATCTAGTCAATTCCACACATGCATATAAATGAAGCAAGAAAGTTGTGTGAGTGACTTGATATGATTATGAGTGGCAATAGTTTGTGCTCGAAACGTGGTCATCAGTTATAATATTACTGTATAACAAGACTGTGAGAGTTTATCAAAATAAAATCTTATCCATAATGGAGTTATGCTTTACTTCTATTACATATTTATTCACTTTGCATAATCTGATCGATTTTTTTGCCTTATTTTATGCTTTAACACTATAAGTATTATTCTTTTGTATATTTTTTCTTATTTGATCTATGAACATTTGAATCACAGGTTACGGCCTGATGACATGACTACACAATATCTTGTTGGTACACTAGCAGATTACGATGAAACAGTGAAGCATTTGAGACAAAATCTATATGAAAAATTAGCTGAAAAGTTGGCTGAACGAATGTTGATTGAGTATTTGAAAGCACTGATTATCAGGTAGAGGTTTATTTGAATAATATTAATATCACATTTTTTCGTTTTGTTTGCTTTCATTCTATATCATACATCTCCACAGAAATCAACCAACCGTGGTTTTCTGTTAGTTATAATATCAGTTGGAAAGTAAACCTTACAGGTAGGATTAACTTCAAAATATCTCTTAGAAAGTAGATTGAAAATATTGCTAAAGATTTCAAAGATTAAAAGAGTGAATACCTTGAAACCATTTTTTTACAACAACCTTCACAACCACATCGTCGCTGAGACTTTCCTGTCATTAGATCTTAGTATCCCCTGAGGATATTGAAAAAATAATTTCAGCCTCTCCTGATCACATAGTAAATACTTCCTCTGTTTCCCTCCATCCAACATTCCTTAAGATTATCTTTAACATCAAATCCTATTTCAAGTGTATTCCAGCAATCTCATATGAGATGAAGATTCATTATCTTCCTATTTCAACACTTTAGTTTTACTTCATGCCGCCTATAACTTCCTTTCTTTAAATAGCAATTATGTTACAGTTAGTTGAACAGGGAACAACAAAATTGCTGTGTAGTGAATGTACTACCTCTTTGGGATCCAGATATGTAGTTAGCGAGTGCCAGCGATGATACTGAATAGCTAACGCCAAATCGATTTTTAATATCCATGTCGAAGCGATATCAGAAACTAGTTGATTATGCCATATATGACTTCCCAAAGCATTTAATTATCCGAAGAGTTGTTAAGAAGCTAGCCATACTGTACAAAAAAGCATGTCAGCTGGTCTTCATTAATCTAAGTGTATAGGTGTTATGTACTCGTCGCTGAATTATTGTTATGGACTGGTTGAGAAACTAATAGTCCTGACGCGAGAAGGCGGAAATCAGAAGACCACTAGGTTTGCGATGATACTTCTATTGTCCAAACACAAGGAGACGAAAATAAATGGTCTCACACCAAAGTGGTAAGCAAGTCAAGTAGTTGTAAAGTAGTTCACACAAATTGTGAATGCGAATATATATAAATAATTCAGACAAGCGTGGGAAAAATCATTAGACAGTCTTAACATGAATGGCTAATTATAATGGAGTGTCAATCCAATTATACATAGCGAATATAGCAGACATGCCAACAAACATATATGGATATATGTCACCAAGCAACGGACTGTCAACAAACACTCATATTATATATAATATAATATAAGGAGAATACACATTATTAAAGGAGACAAGTCCATACAAGTGAAGTGGTCACAGACTAACCGAGCAAACAGAAAGAGAGACCAACATGCACACACACACATAAATATATATATGTGGATACATATCAATAGGACAGTGGTTTCTGATATCCACCTACCATCTTATGATGTATAGAGTATGATTAGATTGGAAATTTTTGCAGGAATGTAACACTAGAGGAGTATTCGGTAGGTGGCGATTCAAAGTACAGGCTTCCTGATGAGACTATGAGATTCGAAATTACGCTGGCAAAGAACTGATTACCAGTAAATATGTATGTGCCCCTTTCAGTGTATTGCCATCTGAATTTCAAGATTTAATCTATTTTTCTTTTGATTTTAATGCCTCATTTGACTTCGTCGATAGATGATTGTTGTAATATTGTGTGGTAGTATGTGAAGTACCGAGATATTGTGACACACTAGTCAAGACTATTAATCACTTGAACACATGTTGTTGTGCAGAACTTCACTACAGCTCTTATTTCAGTTGACGATAACAATGACTGCCAAATGGAGTACTGTTTCGCTTTCATTTTACGTTAGATGTACTGACTTGGAACACCAGACGGTTGTTTCTTGCTGATTCAGGACTCCTTGGAGGTACGTACTGTGGATCCGACCCAGTACCTTCAGGTTACGAGGTGAGGCTGTTGATCGCTTAATCATTAGGGCAGAATCAAATAGCCGAAGGATTCTAAGCTCTGTCAGTTCATGATATGTAAATCCATGGGTGGTACAACTTGAAGAGTCTCAAACTAGGACAAAACAGCTGTCCACAATACTCACTGTTTTTCAGTAGTCATCTGACTGATGTCATTTGAAACCAATCAAATCCCTGCAAACGAACACTTGAAAGTATCTTGTTAGATTAAGAACTCTAGAATAGAAGATAATGGCTAAAATATTTTGTTTCCTGTATACATAAATTTAGGACAAATGTGATTCATCCAAAATGTGTCTATCAGCTGTAATAACCTTGAGTTATAATTATGTGAAATAATTGAGAAACAATCATTAACACTGATGTTATGACCAGAAAATTATAAAGGTTTTGCACTTTATGATGCTAGTTTTCTATTCGGACTAAGTGCATTTTTATAATGGTTTAATACCCACCTAAGAAATGTATTCTTTTTAACAAAATTGAAATATTCTATTAGTCCTACTTAAATGTGTATCTTTGCAACTAAGAAAGAACTTGTAGTCACAATTTGAAGTTGAGTCGATTGATTTTTGTCCTCTTATCGTGCGTACATAAAGAGGAGAGGAAATACTTGAGACGTTAGAAGAAAAGTTACGGTGTAGATTCTGAGCTTTAGAAATAGCCGAAGCCTTTGAGCTGTCAACTGCATGATCACATCACCCGTAAATGATATTCTGATAAAGAAAGTTTTTCTTTGCTGCGTAGACTATCCTGTCACTTATGAAATGCAATAATCATCGCACACTTTTTGTCCCAAGGACATTTTGTGTTTCCAAATCTCCAAGTGGTTACTTCCTTCACTTATCTAGGAAGCCCAGTTTCAACCACAGGCAGTTGGATCGGATGAGGATGTCAACACCAGCCTGCTAGAATCGGGAAGACACAAGCAAGATGCACCTTCATCAACCTGAAACCAGTTTGAAAATCTCCTGGACTTGGCCAGCAAAAACAACAAGATTTGGATCTTCAAAACCAGTGCCAGTGAAGTCAACCGGTTCTTCTATACAGGTCAGAAATTTGGTCAGCGTGTCACGAAAAGGATTTTCAACAGGAGACTACAGACTTCTATCAACGACTGCCACATTCGTTGGTTGGCTGGCTCCATACCGAAGATCAAATGGTCAGCCGGCCAGAAAGAATTAGCAGCGGAAAACTCTGGTTGGGAACAAACAAACAGGCAAGAGCCGATCGCTCAACGAATATGTTGGAGAAAATGCAGATGGATGGATTGGGCATAGATTGAGGAAACCGTCGAATGACATCGCGTGCAATGCAGGCCATCACTCGAGTGGAATCCCAATGTGAAGCAATGAGTGGGTCGTCAATGCGACGGTGATATGGAGGAGATCGTGTGGGGAGGCGATGAGAGATTATAAGTGATTGTGAACTCAGCTGAAGGGGATGGCAGAGGATAGAAGAAAGTGGAGATGTGTTGTTGAAGTCCAATGTTCCACTAGGAACCAACAGTATTGATACTCAATTAAGTCTTCAAATGTCTTATTCAACAGTAGTATTCGTCTTATATAACAGAACAATGAAAAAATATTTCCAATTGACGTGTTTATTTTAATATGCACAGACGTTGTCCATTTTCCTCGGAGGCAGACAGAAGAAAAGCGGGTGAGAAAATTATACGAGATGGGAATGACTTAAAAAATTATTTCGAAGAAAAGATGAAAGTGAAAAGTGAGGTAAGCTAATTCTTACTGATTTTTGCATAAAAAGCAGTCAGCTACCACGTTATATGTAGACTGTCGTAAGCTCCTTGTGATCACTTTACTGGTTCTCTCTTAATGTGTCGACTTCTTGCAAAAATGCGTTATCAATAAATACTGTGGTATTTCTTTTGATGCTTTCCACAAGGAGACTAATGCATATCTTCAATCCTACTGTTACCTATTTTGCTGTTGCAATTGTTCTGTGAACTCTAAGTATCATATAAGAACTGGCAGATACTACTAAGTTAGTTGCCCAAACTGAAGGAGGTGGAGCTGGATTCAGACTTTGAAAGCTGTCGGCTGAAAGCAGAGCGCTTAATTCAATAGTCCACATCTCTCCACTGTTACCCATAACCCATTACCTTACTTTTTACACGGTTCATAATTCTCACTCTCATTATTATCCAGTATATCGGCAAGTGTGATAGGTGCTATTCAGTTTATGCGTGAAATTTTCACTAGTTTTACTGTGTTCCCTGAAAGGGCTGTACATCTATGTCTGGTCGTATGGAGTAAACTTTATTCGTTGTTATCCCCACATCTTCGAAAGTTGTTTCACACCTAACATTGGTTCAAGCTATAAATTAATTGCTCGCGTATTCACCACCTTTTTTACTCCTTTACGTTCCAGTGGAACATAGGGCTTCAAGCTAGAGGCTTGGATTTTCGGTAGCAGTAGTGTTTATCTTTACGAAATGGGGTTGCTAACTTCATGCCCAACCTTCCTTCTTTACCAGTCTTATTACTGGCTTAGCGAGGTAAAGAAGTTCGTCGCCCTTACCACATGCGTGGTCCGTGAGCATTCTGCTGCTGTGCCACCGATGAGCTCCGTTCACAGCTTGGAGGTGTTAAATTTGTACCAGCTATTGTTATTATTATTTAGACTAACCAGCAATCTTTAACTGTGAATTATCACAGATGTTAAACGAATTGACTGACTGACTGACTGCTTTCAATGTAGAACTATGCACACATATGCAGCAGTTCGAGCTCCCACACTCCCTCCTTGTAGCACACAGCAACAAAAGAGAGTAGAGAGAGATTCATAAGATATCACAAAGGTGAGGCAAAAAAGATAGTGATACGGAAGGTCAATTGAGTTTTATTGCAGATGATAAATCGCAGAGTGAATGTATCTGTGCGCCATTGAGAACGATTTTGAGTCATATCATCGATTTTCTTCAGCCACTGGTTTTTACCGTCCCGAGGACCCAAACCAGTCATGAAGCCTTCACCTCCCAACGTCGCTGGCTTAAACTAACTGTTGTGGATTTCATTGACTGATGAAAACATGTTTTGGTTTGACCACCACTGGCTCTTTTCCAACGTGATCCTATCTATGACAGCTAACATCGCTCGTCGAAGGAGGCGATGGCTAGGTATGCATGCGTAACACATATCCTAGTTGTCTCAATCGGTTTAAGTTCAAAACCTGATCGATTGATTTCCCCTCTTTACCTGGGCTCAATACTGTTCACCCTATTATAACGCAGGCGTCCATAATCAAGGACAGCTAGTCTTATCATATCTCCCACTTTCACTGGCCATGTCTCACAGCTATAGAGGAGGACGGAGCGAACTGCTGAGTAGTACAGACGCCCTTTGGTCGACATGTAAACGAATTATAAGTTGAATCTCTGAAGTTAGAACATATTCCAATAAAACATGATCGGTAGTTAGTGCGTTTTTGTTACAATTTGAACTCTAGGTAATCGCAGCCTACGACGCTCTCACCACTATTGGTCAGTTGTTCCTTACAACAGATACAACAATGTTGCCTTTGGATGTTGCAGTAAGTACTATTATTCATTGTTTTTTTCTTGGTGATAAGAACGCTAATAAGTGTCCATTCACAACACCCACCAATTGAAATACTTGTTTTTATGGAAGTTTGACAAGTCACTTTCTGCACGGTTGCGTTTATTTAGCATCTGTCATGACACTATTCACAGCATCGGAGAGTTCATGGAGTTTAGCATCACAGGACGCTATCACACACATCCGTGTGGACTCCCATTCTGCGACTTAACGAACGTAGAAAACAGACACCTTTGAGGCCAGCACATACCCAGGTTCTCGATAACAACAGGAACTGTTACAATATTAGTGATCCTGAGGAAACATAAAATCATATCCAGTTTGATGTAGAAACAACTATTTTTGGCAACCTGCGGTTATAACTCATACTTTTAGTATCGGAAAGGCAAGACAGACCTTCATCAACCTGAAACCAGTTTGGGAATCTTCACTCAGCCAGCATAAAGAACAAGATTCGGATTTTCAACACAAATGTCAAGCCATGGTTCAGAGACTCGGCATGTTACCGGAAGCACTTCGAACAGCCTACTGCGGACTGTCGCCGCCTCATGCTAAAGATAGGATGACCCGTCAGGAACGGTTGGAAACAATGAAACTTTGGAACGCGATAACCCACTGCAGGAAACAGAGACGGATTGGACGCACTGTGAAGAGAACGTTGAGTGACATCATGCGCTAGGCCCTAGAGTGCAACTCGAATGGGTAACCGAGGGTTACATGGAAGAAACAATGTGAGGAGGTAAGAGCTCATTGGTAATCTTGGAACCAGCTACAGGGGACTGCAGAGAACATGATAAAATGGGAACGTCCTGTTGAACCTATGGGAATAATTAATAAATAGTCGTTGCAACCCATCTACCCTAAGCCTGAATGTGCGGTCAATATTTGTTCTGACTATAGAAGAAGGATACGAATTAATTTTATTATGTGACAAGTAAATCTTTTCCTATTGGCCTGCAAGTATGACAGTGCAATTTTTAAATTTATTGTGGTCAACTCCATAATGCTATATATCTCTCCTTAAAGAATTTGAAACGTCAATTCCCTGATATTCGTCCAGACCAAGTCTACGCTTTGTTAATGGCACGTGGAGATGTTGCCTCAGATAATGCTAAAAGTGTAAGTCCTCGAAAAAGCATTTTGAATATGATAGTGTAAATTAGCCTCAGTGACTGTTGTTCGTTGTATTTATATAACTAAAAGTAATTGTACTGGGTCTAAACTCTCTTTCGCAACAAAGAACCTTAATTGTAGTGAATTTTCCAGGCTTCTTTTTATCGCTTGTTAACTTTAGTGTTGAATCGAAAAGGCCATGTCGTGAGTGTTCCATAAATGTTGATGCACGTCAACTGAATACTCTACGTACACGGATATATATACTTTTGAAATAACATTGGGAGATATAAGACTGATAAGTAAACAAACTACATTGAATTAGTCATGCAGAAAGACACGTGCGAATAATTTACAGGTTATGTTCAAATAGATAAGGGGAGAGAGAGTATGAGAGATCAAAATTAAGATAAATAACATTACGCTTCAATTACATCACTGAGATAAACAATTAGTCATTAGGGAATATAACGAGAATTGCAACCAGACTAATATCAATAGTAATAGTTATAATAATAATAATAGTGTTGAAGTGAGTTAAGATAATCTTGCTGATGAAACATAGCTTTAAATGAATCAAGAATAATAACAATTTTGATAGCGTTATTAGAAGACGGAGACTGTTTGAAAAATGTGATGTATTAGCGCTATACATTTCGAACAATCTGATCACACATTTACTTGTCAAGTCAATATATATAGAAAGGTTAAATTAAACAAAGTGAGAGAAAACGGAATTAAGAATAATTAACACAAACGTTTGGTAATCCAATCAAATAAGGATTACCAAGGTAGGTTAAGAGTAATGACAAACTGTTTTTGAATACACAAGGGGGGCTTAAGTCTATGAATAGCTATAGCCTCAGCGTATTTCAATAAACGCCCTTGACCGTTTTTATAGATGACCTTAAAGGCTGAGTTAACATCAATCTTATGGTTCATCTCGATTAGATGTTTAGCTATAGACGAATTTGGTAGTCTGCCACCTGCATCTATTAGCTTGTCACAATTCATCTGTTTTTCTAACCATTTTGGGATATGCTCTCCCACCCTCACGTGCAAAGTGCGATTACTCCTCCCTATGTATGTATGTCCACACACACACGAAAATTGGTAAATTGTATGGGATGTGATATAATCACTTGTGCACTTTTGGGGTTTACAGTGAAGCATATTTTTGGCTTTTTCCACAATTACAAGCTGGGCAGCATAGTAGGTCCTACGGATGATTGAATTCAACCTTTGTCTCACAATCCTACTGTTTATTTCCCCGTTATATGGTAATTTGATAAAAACCTTTTTCTTAGGGACGGTATGGATTGTAGGTTTAGAGGCTAGTTGACTTCTACACCTGTTTAAAAATTTCAAAGGATATCCGTTTTCAACGAGAGTATCCATTAATATTTCGTTTTCTCTGTCCATAACATCAGCCGTGCAAATACGCTGAATCCTCTTGAATAGGCACTTCACCAAGCCCCTCTTATACTGTAATGGACAGAAGCTGTGAAAATTAAGGTATTGCCCTGTCCAAGTGGGCTTTCTGTAGATAGACCGTCTTATTGAGCCATCATCTCTTCGACTCAGAAGTATGTCTAAAAATGCTAGCTGGTTGCGACTTTCTTCCTCACATGTAAGACTAATATGATTTTGTACAGAGTTAAGTCTGTCTAATAGGCGACTCGCATCTTCATGATCGTCACATATCAAAATGATATCATCTACATATCTCCTATAAAAGGGCAATTTTGAAATTAAATCCAGGGATAAGTTTTCAACATAAGACATATACACGTCCGCTAACAAAGGTCAAGAGGATTCAGCGTATTTGCACGGCTGATGTTATGGACAGAGAAAACGAAATATTAATGGATACTCTCGTTGAAAACGGATATCCTTTGAAATTTTTAAACAGGTGTAGAAGTCAACTAGCCTCTAAACCTACAATCCATACCGTCCCTAAGAAAAAGGTTTTTATCAAATTACCATATAACGGGGAAATAAACAGTAGGATTGTGAGACAAAGGTTGAATTCAATCATCCGTAGGACCTACTATGCTGCCCAGCTTGTAATTGTGGAAAAAGCCAAAAATATGCTTCACTGTAAACCCCAAAAGTGCACAAGTGATTATATCACATCCCATACAATTTACCAATTTTCGTGTGTGTGTGGACATACATACATAGGGAGGAGTAATCGCACTTTGCACGTGAGGGTGGGAGAGCATATCCCAAAATGGTTAGAAAAACAGATGAATTGTGACAAGCTAATAGATGCAGGTGGCAGACTACCAAATTCGTCTATAGCTAAACATCTAATCGAGATGAACCATAAGATTGATGTTAACTCAGCCTTTAAGGTCATCTATAAAAACGGTCAAGGGCGTTTATTGAAATACGCTGAGGCTATAGCTATTCATAGACTTAAGCCCCCCTTGTGTATTCAAAAACAGTTTGTCATTACTCTTAACCTACCTTGGTAATCCTTATTTGATTGGATTACCAAACGTTTGTGTTAATTATTCTTAATTCCGTTTTCTCTCACTTTGTTTAATTTAACCTTTCTATATATATTGACTTGACAAGTAAATGTGTGATCAGACTGTTCGAAATGTATAGCGCTAATACATCACATTTTTCAGACAGTCTCCGTCTTCTAATAACGCTATCAAAATTTATAAAAGGGACTAATTGTTTTAAATAATAACAATAATAAGAAGAGGTAGAATAATAGTAATAACAAGTAGACAATAATAAGTAAAAAGTTTTACCATGGTAGATTCAGAGTCACTACCATCCCCTTTTGTATACAGAGAGCTGGTTTATAAATTCGAATTGCACAAGCCTCTGCAATTGCAAGCATCTTCTTGTTTCTTTGTTTGCTGACAATGGTGAATGACTTGACCGCGTCGATATCATGTCCGTAATCCACAAGATGTTTTGTTATTGTGGATTTTTGCACTTTGCACTCAGTTGTTTTCAACCATTTTGGCAAACGCTCCATCATGCGAGTAGACAATCGCCTTTCCGTACGACCTATGTATTTGCTGCCACAAACACTCAAATTGATATATGCAGTTTGAAGTGTCGAGGATTGGCGACTGGTCTTCCCCAGATTGTTGAAGCACTCGCTTGGTGGTGTTGAGGATAACAAGTTTTGCTGCATAATAAGTTGTCTTGATGGATTTGTCGAGTCTTCATTTCACTACTTCCTGTACGTCATCTCCTTTGAATGGCAAATTGATGTAGACAGGTTTCTTTGGAACTGTTTGAATTGTTTTGCAAGGGGTAGTTTCTTTAGAGTATTTATTAATGAACTTCTCACGATACCCATTCTTGGATAAAATATCCTTCAGAGATTTTATTTCATGTTCAATAGTACTGTCAGAACAAATTTTTTTCGTGCTCTGTTGAACATTGTTCTGACTAAGTATATATATATATATATATATATATATATATATATAAAAAGTTTGTTTAATTTTCTGCAGCTTTCAGCGGATAGTCATTACGGAAGAGAACTATCGCAGAGGCCATCGCCATTCACAATTTTCACACGATTAGCCGTGGCAATGGATCAACATTAATATTGTTTGAATACATAGAGCTCACGAAATTCCCCAGCGCTTTCAAGCTCCAGTAATTTCTTACCTAACTTCTTCATGATATTAATATAACAAACAATAATAATATGTTCTCAGTTTTTTACATGAGGGACAACAGTTTACAGGCATCATCAATATGATATATAACATACACATAGTGTAAACATGTTTACAATTGTTTATTTATTTACAATTATTTATATACACACAAGACAAGGTAGTGGAATAATATCTATGAGGTTACTTCAAACAGGAGAAAGCGATATACACAGTATGGTACAAATTATCACCATTGAAGAAATGTAACTAAAGTGCGCGTTATATTTAATGATTGCGTTGCTGGAGATAGGTATGGTAGGTTATTCAAAAAGTGATTTTAAAAAATTGGTCAAACGTTAGCTGGTTTACCGATAATAATATTTTTAAGCAATATTAGCTGTCTGCAATTCACCATAGCAGTAAAGTATCCAGTTAAACTTACAACAGCAACAGGTAATTTTTTGTCCATACGCGGCTGCGAACCAGAATAATGGCGAATTAATCCATATAAAATGATAAGTGGAGCATGTAAGAGCTGGAAATTATCACCACACTAGTTAGTGAGATTATAAATGCAACCATCAGAATATATTCATTATGTCTTAAATTACCAGATTTATTGGTATGGTATTTTATTAGCGTTAAGGTAACATTTCACAGCTGTCACCCAGGATACGTCAAAGAAGAAATTGATGGGTATTTTAAGATACAGTTATAGGTTTTAGGACAGCCAACTTTCTCCATATCTTTTGTTATTGAACATCGCCAAATATCCTCATTCTTTATCGTCAAAAAGTCATGTAAAAGCTAAAATGGTCAGAGAACAAAGAAGACAAACGATAGCAGCATAGAAAAGAGCAAATGGATTCATCAAGGAGTTATTTGTAAATGTATTGTTATAGTTTCCGTAGAAACCAGGGTTCCTGTTGATACACTAACTAACTAGTTGTTGTGCTAACTTTCATACTATATGTATGAACTAATATCAGTCCTGTGTAGAAATGTTTATCAGGTTTCTCCAATAATAATAACACTTAATTATGAAGCCTATTGTTATCCATACGTTCAACAGACAAAGTTTATCTACGTGGGGTGTAGGAGTCAGACGCAGGAGAGCATTGTCATCTTTGAGGAGTCTAGTGACTCAGGAAATGAGTACTCAAAGTGTTTGCGTCACGCACATTAGCTGGTAGTCTATTTTAATGACTGAGAACTTATTTAAGAAGTTGGACAGCATGTAAGTTTGGCAATGCTCTATAGCAACTAGGTTGTCATGATTTCTAAGATTGTAACTGATGGCAGAGGTGGATTAAGTTATTGACATGGAAGAGTGCAGAATAGTGATAAACTTGTTGTAGAAAATAAGGTTCAGCTTAAGACGTCTTTCCAGGGTGGTTTTACTTTTAGTCGGTCGCAACGCTCAGCGTAGCCGAGATCGCATTCTAAATCAAGGTATTCTCAGGTGAATTGCCGTTGCACTCCGCCTAATTCAAGCTTCTAATTCTGATGGATTCCACTAAGAATAAACGAGGAATATTCTAAGCTATATCGGACACATGTATAATAAAATCCTAGTTTCACAACCGAAACAATTGCAAGTTATGCATCCTAGGAGTGCGTGTTTTACGTCTGGTATAAACAGCTTGTCCAGAAAGTGTTAAATTACTAGCGTATCTCACACCGAGATCTACTGCCAAGGTTTTTGAATAGAATCAGGTAGTGGATAATCCTTAATGACTTGTAGATCATCAGGCACTGGTCTGATTCCTTGGCTGTCGATTAAATGCCTGAGGAATATCAATGAGTTCTTGCCGAATTCACATTTGTCTGAGTTGGTGGTCATCCCATACTGGCGAAGTCTCTCGAGTATAGTCTTCACATGTTTCAAACGTTCTGCCTCATCTGCACTCGCAATGCCTAAGTCGTCAATGTATGCGTATACAAAGAGGAGATCACGGAGTAATTGATCAATTAAGCGTTAGAATGTCTGGGCTGCGTTCATTAGCCAAAAGGCATACGAACGAATTCGTTTAAGTCGAATGGGGTGGTAATAGCCGTTTTCGGAACGTCGTCCGGATGAATAGGAATGGGATAGACTATTAGGATATCAATCTTGGAGAAAACTTTAACGTTGGCAAACTGCTGATGCCATCGTGTATTTGTGGTAGTGGGTATCGTTCGCTTCTTCATAGCTCGGTAACCGCCACATGGCCGTATTTCACCGGAAGACTCTTTTGGTACCATATAAAGTGGTGAAGACATTAAGCTACTAGATGGTATGATGATTCCAAGCTTTAGCACTTTGTAGAATTGTCTTTGCCATACATAGTCGCTGTGGATCCAGGCGTAGAGGGCGTGCAAAAACTGGTGGTCCAGTGGTGTTTTAATATGGTTAACCACATATTGCTGCACCTCGGTTTCCCCAAAAGAAGGTTGAAGAAGATCAGAGAACTCATTCACTAATTCGTTATATGGAGACTCTAACGTGCATGTGATTTAAAGATGATACTCGCTGGCTGTACCAGCCATGTACGCTTGCTTGTGTGAGTCGATCAATTTTGGACTTCTCGGATCTACCAGCAATTTATGGTGGTGCAAGAAATCCATGTGTATGATGGTGATACGACGTCTGCAATATGGGAACGGTCTACCTGAGGTGAAGCAGTTACAAATACTGTTACTGCAGACTATGAATAAAAGTAGTCCTAGACTAGGACCCTACACTACACAACCCAACTTGTAATTTTCCTGGGATTACACCATCTGAAATTGGATATCTCTAGCCTGTAGTTTAAAGCTGACTTTCAACAGCTATACGATCGATTTCGAATTCCACATGAGTACAACTTCGAAAACAGAATACTGCAAGCCACAATGTTTGACAATATACATATATATATGTATAAGTAGAGGACAATGACTAGTTCATGTGCTTCGCGACCACTAGTGATACAATTGAAGAAAGTCCAAATGACAAGTAACGCAGGACCTATTTACCAGAAATCCGCGTTGAGACGTTGTAGATAGTCCATGACTCGCGGGATAACTGGGGTTATATTTATAGGCCTATGCTTGCGAACTTTTCCCATATCACCAGACTTGTAGCGTGGAATTATACAGCTAGCTCTCTACTCATCAGGGTCCAGACATGTCGAAAAAAACTTGAGAAGAATGTCACAACCACCGTTTTTCAAAATTATTGAAGCAAGGCTTTTCGCTCCCGTTCTAGCAGGAGGTTCACGGCTTTTATCTGTTTGTCCTACTAACTGATCGACAAATACTATGCTCCTGAGGGAGGAGCTGGTAAGGGATGCAGTTTCACGATGGGCGAGTGTTTTTAAACTAAAGTTAGCAAACCACTCACTTAAAAGTTCACACATGGTGATAGACTTATTGTAGATTTCTTTGTTGTGAAGTAAGTAGCGGATGTCTCCTGTCGACCATATTCATTTTTAAGAAGTATCGTGAAGTTATGAACTTTTGATTGAGCTTTTTATTGTACTTAACTCTTCGTTGAGGTCATTTTGAGAGCGTCGGCACTCGATAGATTCAAGCGACTCGTGGATTGGGTGAAGTAGTGATATCTCCCTGGTGGAATAGTACTGCCTCAACGGCATCCTCAAATTAATCCGGTATATCCTTGGAATGTATTCAGCTTGGTGTTTATTTATCTTACTATCTTCTTAGGGGGAACAGTAACATTTCTATAAAATAGGGACGCTACAGTCTCCAGGTAGTCAGTGGTAAAATAGTCATGCAATTGACGGCCTCGAACGAGTTCTTGGACTAGTTCCCCCTCTGTATACTTGTAACTACGGCATATCCTTCCTGAATCTTGTTTGTTACCGGTATTTAGTGATGAGAAAGGCGGAGAGCAAAATAACATTCTATGGTCGTTATTGGGAAATGTGTTACCAACATAGGTGGGAACCGAGATTATGTAATGACAAACACAGGGTCTAATATGTCACCATGGGTAGGTGTTTAGAGGTGTCGTTTCCGTCTGTATCAATCAACAGTGGAAAGTAATTCTTCGAAGCATTGGAGGTCGGGACTACTTAACCAGTTGACGTCTGGGAGATTTAAGTCCCCTACAATTATTTTGTAATTAGTACTAAACGAGGAGGCATGTGCAAACGACTTTCCGCAATGCATAGTGCATCACTTTCTTGGGTTGAACATGCTGCTCGATGAACACAGCCTATGCGAAATTTGTATTTATCCGCATGTAAGACGGTCGAGATTCAATCAGGTACCTCATTCAGTAATGTAGCGGTAAATAACTCCCCAAAATCATTGACCACAGCAATCACTCATTGGATGCTGACCACCACTGTTTAAGTCGACTTGTTTAGCTGAAGGCTTCCGGTCAAGCATCCCCGCCATTTGGTACCCCGTCGTGTCACGTGCACGATCACTAGCTAGCTAAGCGTTCGTCTAACGGCTTGTTTTGGTCCCAAATATATTACGTTTTGGACGATCAAGTATTGGCTTTTGCTTTGTCTTTGGTACGCGAGAATAAATTAATTAGAAGTTGCTGAACGAAATATCCGTCAACCACTAAACTGGTGAGCCCAACCGCGAACTTCATCCACGATAAATCCGCAGATAACCCCGGTGAGTTCGTTCCATTTTGTATTTGTTCTTGTACCATATATTATTCGACATAATTTTCGTCATGAGTGATCTTAGTCCCAAGGTCATCCGTATCCGCTCAACTCCTAAAACCATTCAGCTCGTACCATACTGGCCAGATAATGCTGAAACGTGGTTTCTGCTAGCTGAAGCAGATTTTTGTGAGCATGGGATAACCGATCAACGTTCACAGTTACTTGCAGTTATTCACGCCCTACCGCGGGAATTCAGCAAGTACGTAACATCACAGATGTTCAGTCCCGAGGTAAGTAACTCGTACGAGTTGCTCAAAGCATCCCTCCTCAGGAGAAACGTTCTCACGGACCGACAACGTCTAGATGAATTATTTCGTAACATCGAGTTAGGAGATCAGTCAGCCGTGAGCATGCTGACAAGAATGAAAGAAATCGTCGGCCAAAGTCAGTTCGACGAAGGACTGTTTAGAGAACTCTTCTTATCCAAGTTGCCACAGTCTGTACAGACCGTACTTGTGACACTTCAGGGTACTGTAATAGAGGACTTAGCTATTACTGCAGATAGGATTCTAGAAATAACTAAACGGTCTGTTCCCGAAATATGCTCGATGACTAAGCAGACTTCGAGTAAGGATCCTGCAATGATAGAGTTATGCAACTCCATCCAGCAGATGTTTAGGTCGAACATGCATTCTAACTCCTCCGACCGTCGTCCTAAATCTCCTCAACGCAGGAACTCACGTGGTCGATCTAAGTCCAAACCACGTTCACTGAAAAACCCTGACTGGTGCTGGTACCACAACACCTATGGCCAAGAAGCGAAGTGTTGCCGTAAGCCTTGTAACTTCGGAAATGTCTCAAAGTCTGCGGGAAACTATCCCGCCGGCACGCGTTAGCGGCAACCGTCGCCGGTGGCACTAGCCGCCTACTTTACATCCATGATGTGATAAGCCAGACTCGATACTTAGTCGACACAGGCGCCGAAGTCAGCGTCCTTCCTGCTACAGCAGCAGATCGACAGAAGGAACCTACCTTCAACTTACAGGCTGCAAATGGAAAACCAATCGCAAC